TCTCACCTACTTGACTCCAAAGCTGGACACATTGCGTTAACTGCAATAATTTGGATTACAGATGGATACTTCATTTCACTAAATGAATTACTATAGGAAACCTTTAAACAGTGAGCTTTCATTGGACTCTTTATATTGAATTTTTCTTACAATGTTAAAGAGTAAATCTGCCATGAAAACCACACCCCGCAGTGCTTATGCAGGGTAGAGCTCATTAAATGTTGATGAATGAATGTAACTTAAATAGATTAGCTTTGGAGTTAGACATGACTACATTAAAGTTCTCTAGGTTACTCTTTAAGCTTCACATTGCTTATCTGTAAATCCAAGAAGAGTACTTCACCTTAAAACCACGTGAGAAATAAATGAGATCATGAATGTAAAACACCTAGCACTCAGTAAAAAAGTTTTAAAAAAAACAATATTATAATCCTGAAGTAATATGTCTAGGCCATAAACTGGGATCCAAGGTAGATTTAGGTGGACAGAGCTAAGAATTATTAGGTAGGAAGAACCATTAGGACCACTGGGACAAGGTGGAGAAGGGAGTCATTGACAGACATACGATGATAGGCTTAATATGATCAAAGACAAGAATGGGGAAGTTAGGCAGGAATACTGGACTGAGGGTACAAGGCTTTTTATCTTGAAGGAGACGTTCTGAGAAGAAACAGAGATACGGAATTTGGAAAGGCAAAGAAGATAGAAATTGTGTTATTAGTTGAATGAATAAAATAAGGGATGGATGAATTAATACATGGATAAATTAATTCAAAATATCTATTGAGTGCCAGGTACTATAAATTTATTGTTTAATGGGAGCAGGTCCGTGGTGGTGATTTCAAAATTTTTGTCAAAGAGAAACTTGGGAGTAGCAATCTGGTTGGAAGGGTGGCTAGGTGGGGAAGGGGATTTGTCTTGACTCTGTCATCTCTTAGTACTTTAGATCAGACTGAAAAAATAAGAACAGGGAAGGGGCACTAATTGAGATAATGGCTGGACCTAATTTCCCGCAGACTAACCATCAGTTCTCCCACTGCAGACACACATAATCAAATCAATGAGATACTCATTTTAATAGGTTTATGTACAAAAAGCTTTGTCAGCATGGAGGCAGAAACATTTAATTCTCCTTTGGGGTGGGGAAGATGAGGGAGAGAGTTCATAAAAAGGTACGATTTTAGTGGACTCTTATTTATCACACTTGAAAAAGTGACTAAACCTTCTAAACACAAGGAACAACAGAGACCTTCAAAGACACTGAAAAGTTAGAGTTCCTGGCAGACTATTCTGAACCTGGCTAAGGCTGAAGGTGAAGCAGTGGCCCAGTAATAATAATAGGCTTGCGTGTTATGCCAAGAGTTTTGAAATTCATCCTGTGATCAATGGGACCCACTAATGGATTTCAGGCATGGGAGTGACAATGATAAAATATTACATAACATTTTAGTAAGATCATAGTCTTATACATTTGAAAGAGGAGCAAGATGGCCACCCCAACCTCTTCTCTATAAATGAGAAATTAGAAAAAAATGAATAGAACAAAGGCCCTATATGGGAGGAATTTACAACCTAGTGGGGAGCAGCAGCAATAAAAAAAAAAGATATATAATGTAATATCAGATAGTGATAAGTACCAGAAAGAAGAGTAAAGCCAAGTAAGGCACACGAGGATTGGGTGGAGGTACTTAAGGCAAACTCAATGTTCTTTCCACTAATCTCATAGCCACCATAAAAAATAATAGGGTTTGAAGATTCTCTCTCACTTTTCAACACAATAGCTCCATTATATTGAAATCTCAATGTTGCAAACCCGTCCATATATTTCATTCATTGTCTAATAACTTCTTTACCTTCATAAATGTGTTCTCTTGCCAAAGCCCAAGAAATGAGGAGCGAATTCCCTTCTGAAGGTTAAAGACTTGTTACCAGGCTGCACTGAAAACCTTTCCCTGACATTACTTTCCAAATGTCTCTACACTTCATCCAGACACAGCTCTTCACCATTTCTTAAGTCTTTAAAATTTCCATAGCTTGGCTCACAAGAACTTATATGTCTCCTTCCCTTTCTTGCTTCATCATTTTGTTTAAGAAACACGTTCTGTGTTGTGCTTGGTTTGGCAGACACTTTGCTAGGTGCAGTAACACAAAGAAGAGCAAACTACAGACCCAAACTCTGGAGCTGACAGTAGTACTGCGTGTGGGTAAACAGAGGCTCAAGCCAGGTGTGGGAACCCGTGAGGCCAGAGAGGAAGGACCAGTTGCTGTTTGGTCTTAGATGCCTGGTTTTAAATTGATACACTTCTGTGTCCTGTGGAAAGTGCTCACAGGCCTATGAACAGGGGAGCAATGTTCTAATAGTAAGAAATGACTTTCAGTAAGGGTTTACTGTAGTTTCTCCAAGTGTGAACTCTTGACCAAGCCCCGCCCTTCAACACCGGAGGCCTAATAGAGGACAGCAGATCCTGCTTAAATCTACCGAATCTCAAAGTCTAAGGGCGGGGCCCATAAGCCTGCAGTTTAATCATGAATATCCGCAGGCCATTGTTATGTACACTTAAAGTGTGAGAGCCGCCATATATTCTCATTAAGCTTTCACCTTAAGTTTGTACTATTACCATTTCTATTTTACATAGAAGGAAGTTGAGGCATAAAAAAGGGTGATTAACTTGCTAAGGTCACAGGGGACTAGGAATGCAGACCAAACTAGACAGTCTTAAACATCACAGTACGGTTATCCCTTTGCTAATTGATTTGTTGCTAAAACTTCATTAACTACTGGACTTCGAGTTTGAAGACAGTCTGGAGGCCCACTAAATTTAGCCTGGGGAACTTGGGCTATTCACTCACATTTTGAATTTTAAGTCCCTCGCCGGTTAATTTTAGGCCAAAACACCTCCACCTGCAAGGTGACCTGAGGGGCAAGGCGGGACATCAGGCGGGGGAGGGATCGATGACTTCGGCGCGCCCCACTGCCTGTTGGATTGGCTCGAGCCTCTCCCGCCAGGCCTGCCTTACTCCCGCGCGCTCCAGAGCCCGCCCCCGCCGCCATCTTGGCCTGGGAGGGAGCGGGCCGCACGCGTGAGTAAACAGACTGAGCCGGGAAAGCCGAGCTCTTGCAGCGTCCGGTTGCTGCGGGGCAGCGGTGGAGAGGACGCAGGCCTGGTCTTCGTACGTAGGGGTGAATATCGGGGTCGCAGTGCTGGGCGGCGGGGATCCCTCAGCCGGGAGCAACCTCCGCCCCCTCGCGGCCAGATGGCTCGCTCCCCGGGCTTCTCCCGCCCCCGCCGGTCTCCTCCCCCTGTTGAAAGCTGCCCGGGAAAGTGGTGGCGGGAGTGGGCCTGCGCCGGAGCGCGGCGTGGGCCTGGGTGCGTGTGGGGGGGCGCAGGAGGAGATTAGCGTTACGGGTTTGTACGTCGCGGGCCCGGGTTGTGGACGCGGTGGGGTTGTGAGGCCGGGTGCGGGCGCGCGGGTCTGGGGCTCGGACTCATGCCGGGCCTCCGCGGGGCTGTTTCTGTCGGTCATTGGATTTTCTATTCTTCCGGTCCGGGCCTCAGGGTGGCCGACATGACGGCCCCGGGTCCAAACCCCCTCGCCCCGCTGTTAGAGACTTTGGAAGACCCTTCCGCCTCTCAGGGAGAGCAGACCGACGCTTACCTGACTCTGACCAGGTGAGGCCTGCTGGGAGTGGGGGTGGGGCGCCCTGGTGAGTCTGGGGGAGAAGATAAGCCCGGGTGGGGCACGGAGAGTGAGTTTGTGTATTCTAGAAGCCTAGCAGCTGTGGGGACGCCGGCGTCGCGGGCGAGGTCGGGGGTAGGGGGAATGCGTGCTAGGTGACGTTCTGGCGTGCGGGCTCTGCTGCCTTAGGTGCATGTTTGGAATGAGGAAGCCCGCACGTGTGTCTTTAAGCGAAGGATTAAGAAAAGTTTGGTTGGAAGTGAGCATGCTGGATTAGTGGTTTTTCAGTGCACGCCACCTGTGTATTGAGACAGTGGGGCTACCCAGAATTGGTTTTTCAATAGAGAGCAAATAACCTGAGTTTTATTTTAATCGCAAATGCTTCGTCCTATTTTCCCCCCTTGCAAACCATGTTTTTCTGAGTTATCTGCAGTTAATTGGAAATGGCTAGGAAAGGATAACAACTGGTACAAAACGATAGATTTAATAAGTTTGGAACTAGGAATAGACTTCCCTGTTCCCTTTCCACGTAGTGAAGCTGTCAAAACGTGTGTACGCTGTGGAGGCACAAGTTATTCTGACGGTTTCTTTGTTTATTTCAGATATGTGTTACACTATGTTTAAAGTATCTTAAGCACTGGGTCAATTAATTTGTCAGAGTTCTAACATAACCTTTAAAAAGATGATACAGGGATTTCTTTTGTGGTAGTTCTTTTGTGTGTGTGTGTCATTTGCATAAACCTGCGTTCTCTCTGCTTTTAAGTCGTATGACTGGAGAAGATGGAAAAGAAATCATTGCAGAAATTGAGAAAAAACTTTCTCGGCTATTCAAAGCTTTAAAGGTATGTATCTCTGTTGCTTATTAAATAGGTTCTTATTTTATGAGGTGAGAAAAGTTTTGCCAGCTAACTCAAAAAACTGAATCTAAACTAGCAGTAGGATTATTATACTACTATTTGAGGATTTACAACGTATTAGGGTTATTTAATTATTTTACATGTTTTCTCTCACTTAATCCTCTGGTGTCCTAATGAGGTTACTCTTTAATACCACTTTGCAGAAGAAATTGGTTAAACTTGCCTAAAGGTGCCATGGACTTTTGAATACCAAAACTTGCACTCTTAATATAAAAGCAGTGATCACAGATTATTTAATCTATTTTTTCTCCTTTTGTAAGAATTTTTTTTTAAAGATTCTTTAATTATGTCATTGGTCTACTGTGTGTGTAACATTCATTTTTTTATCTTCACTCACCCTCAGTTTTTACCACTGTTGCTTTGTTAAAAAACCATTATAATGGTTAACTTTTTTGCTTTGTTTATAGGGAAGTTGTGGGACCAATATTCTTGTCCTTGTTTGAGAACTCTGACTTTGTGACTTGACTTAATACCTAACTTTTAATTTCCTTGTTTTTAGAATGAAGAAGTTGAACTAAATCTCCAAAGTCCCTTTGAGTTCTTATTTTAATGACCTTTTTGTGCTTTTAAATGGAAGTATTCTATCAGGATGTTTATTGTACAATTTAGCATGATTTCTGGCTAAATGTTGAGGCATTAGGGGTACTGACTACCCTTAAATAGTCCTGTTATAGTCATCAATGCTTTTGTTCATGTAAGCAAGAACTTTATTGTGTAGTAGTTCGACTTATTAATAGTATAAACACAATTAATGATATTATTTATTATCCCATTTTATTTATTTTTTTTTTTTGCAGGCGGAGGTAATTAGGTTTATTTATTTATTTTGATGGAGGTCCTGGGGATTGAACCCAGGACCTTGTGCGTGCCGAGCATGCACTCTACCACTTGAGCTATACCCTCCTCCCTCTTATCCCATTTTCTTCATTGTTATGTTCCACATTCCAGCAGTATAGTTGATATGATGAAGACATGCATTATATATTTGGTATTTGAGAACATGTAGGATCAGGAACTCAACTGCATGGATTTTGATGTGGTTTGTTACTAAATCCCTGATAAATAATTATTTAGAAGCAAATGGGTGGTAAATGATTTCTATCAACAGTAATTTTCTATGTAAATTATTGAGTACTGAAAGGATAATTGTTTCAGAATAGGAACCATACTAGATGAAATCTAACATGTTTCTGTGTTACTGTTTAGAATTCAGTATTGTGTCTAATAACTTGAAACATTCTCAAGCATAAGACACTTCGCTGTTGTGGAACATTTTCAAGCAGTATATATTTAATAAAAGTTGATTGCACGCATGCTAACTACTATCTAGGAGATATAATAATAGCTCTCACAGTCTTAAGTGTTTAAGACTATTTGTGGTTGTTTGAAATGATTGCTTTAATACCACTTATAACCCAGGGTTTGGTATTATGGATGTTTGGTTCGATTAATTATAAGAGATGTTCTAGGAAAGTGTCTTCTTATATTTGATTACTAACATTTACCATTCTTCCTGCTCAAGAGTAACATAGTTGAGGATTCCTTGGATATCTGATTCAGAGAAGTGGGGAGATTTGCAGATAAATCACTTTGGAATAGGAAATGGTACCAAGAAAGGCACAGGGTTACAAGTAAATGTAGGATTGGGAATATGGCAAGATTCCCTCTGACCGGTTTGGAATTTTATAGCTTTTACATACATAACATGGAATAGGGTTTGAATTCCAAATGGTCATGGATTCAGTTCTCCTGCTGTGAAGTAGGGTTTTTATGTTGTTTGTTTTTTTTCAAAGATTGAGATGTTTAAAGCTCCTAATACTTTAGCTATTCAGTAAATGTATTCTAATCCCTTCCCTCTTGTCTTTGAGGTGTCACTCCACTCTAAAGCTAAGATGTCAGCTTTTGCCTTTGAGTATTTTATTTACTTTTTGTGGAAGGACTTTGCTCCTACTCTTCATTTCCTGTCTAGTATTTTCAGCATCTTCCATTTGTTAGCTGCTGCTGCTTTTTAATTTTTTTGCTTTCAGACGTGTGCATGTGTTGTTGTTCTTCTAAGAAAAATATTCTTTATTTAGCTGATTTCTGTCTAGTTTCTCTCTTTTCTTTGTCAAGCTATGTACGTGACCTGCTCTTACTCCTTTTTTATCTGCTCTCAAAGATTTGTTGATTGTTGAGATTAAAATGTAATTTTGTTTCTTGGTCACCTTTTGCTTGCCAAAAATTGATTTACAACTGTACTTGTTTGTAACACGTGTGATTTTGTTTTCATAGGCTCACATTGTCAGTCAAAACTCAGAGCTTAGCAGTGCTGCTCTACAGGCTTTGGGGTTTTGCTTATATCATCCCAAAATTTCCTCAGGATTATCAGGTAGTTAAATTTATTATGACTTACTATTTGTAGAGTTTATGATTTAATACTGTTGAAAGTACTGTTAACCTCTCTTTAGTTTCATAACTTATATAGGATTTGCTTTTGAGGTGTTTGATATTAAACTTTGATACCATAAAGATAGCTCTAAAAGGAAATGAGCCTATTTAAAAATAATTGCTACGACAGTCTTCTCCTTTATAAAAACACATCTGCTTTGGAAGTTAATAATTGAATGAAATTAATTTTAGAAGTTAGATGGTTATTTATTTTACACAAGCATGCAGTAGAGAATATGGTAATTTGAAAAGTTGTTCTACACAGTGGTAAATGAAATAATTTGGAGCTAAAAGTGGTAATGAAAGCACAGGATCTGATGCTTTGAGTTTTTAAGCATCCTTAGCACTCTGTATCCTTGGATGCAGAACCTGAAGATATTGAGGGCTGACTGTACTTCACACTCGGATTTTGATATCCCTGGGGGAATCCTGGAACCAGTCCCCCATGGGTATTGGGGGAGGACTATAATCTTAATTGTTGTTCTGTAAGAAGCTTGCCATGGTAAAGGAAACCTGGGAGGCAATCTTTAGAGAAGAGCAATCAGGACTAGGGAATAACTATATCAGAAAGTTGTTACCATCTTTTTTTCTGAGGGAAAAGTATATACTTTTTATATGTAGAGATGTTAACAGTCTAAAGTAGTTGTTCATTTTGGCACAGAGATACAGGCTTTATAACGTTTTGCCAAAAATTCACTTGTATGTTCAAACCTAATGATGAGACCATGTAGAATTATTTTAGTTGCAAAAAATATCTAATCTTGAGTCTACTATGTTTTCTTTGAGTATTGTTTTCCTCTGACCTTAATTTTGTGTTTTGGGAATTAGTTTGATATCAACATTAGCTCTCTGGTCCTTTCTGGATATGCATTTAATTTTTTGACAATGAAGAGAATAGGATTTTTCTCTGCTGCTTTTAACAGAGCTTTTAAAGGATGTAAATGATTCCACGTAATTAAAACTGCTTATTTTTCAGAGACAGATATTCAAGAACTGCTTTCAATACTGAATGATACTGTTAAGAGTTCAGATAAAAATGTACGTACTAGGGCACTTTGGGTGATATCCAAGCAGACGTTTCCTGCAGAAGTTGTTGGCAGAGTAGTGAGTATAGTTTTTGCATATGTCTTCTCAACCATATGCTAGTTAAAAAAAACTCAGGCATATTTGATTTGTTTTTATTTGGTTCTCTTTCAGGTATCCAATATAATTGATTCATTAGAAATAGTATTTAATAGAGGAGAGATGCATTCTGCTGTTGTTGATTATGAAGCATTAAATGTCATCATAAGGTATGAGTTTGGATGCTATGCATATTGGAAGAATATTTTCAGTAAATTTAGAATTTAAGGAATAGACTTTTGGGACTTAAATTTGAGTTGGACGTAATAAAAGAAGGAAATGTCTTCCAGACTAAAATTCTCAAAAAGTAACAGGAAGTAGTAAGTAGACGTGTCTAAGTTGCTAGGTTTCTTTGTTATGCTGCTGCTGCTAACACAGTTCTGGTTTTAAAAATTATCTCTGTTAAAGCTTTTGCAAGAATTCAAAAAATAGTAGACTCCTAAGTGGGCTGCAGGGTGTATTTATGAAAGCATTAACAATGACTAACAGCAAATTGGGAGAATAGGAAAATCCCTTACCTTCTTCCTACCCATCCCTGCTTTATTCATAATGAATATGCTCACAGCACAAATGCTGTTGATAGGCTTTGTCTTACCTTGTTTTTCATTCTTTAAAAGTTTTCAATAGTTGTTGAGTTATATGCTGTAACTATTTAGTGTTCTGATGTTCACATTGTATCATGGTTCTCCAGCTATCTTCTGTAAGAATATCGAATTCAATTGTGTGAAAATAATTAGTATTTAAAAATTTTTAATTTGAAGGCAAGAAGATGTGTTCTCCTTATTTGAAAAATTTATAAAAATAATACAGAAATCTGTAAATTAGCAATTAAAGTTTGTTCTATTTTTGTGTGTCTGTTCTGAAACAAATGGACCATACTACACATATTTCCGTGTGCTGTTTATTTTCCTGGTAGTTTAAACGTAAAAGTTGAGGTCAAACTAGTTTAGTCAATGATTTCTCTTTCATAGGCTAATTGAACAAGCCCCAGTTCAAATGGGAGAAGAGTCAATTAGGTGGGCAAAACTGGTTATACCTTTGGTGGTTCATTCGGCCCAAAAGGTACATTTGCGAGGAGCGACTGCTCTAGAGATGGGGATGCCATTGTTGCTTCAGAAACAACAAGAAATAGCATCTATCACAGAGCAGCTTATGACTACTGTAAGTAATATTTTAAGGATTTTTTTGGCGGTGCTGCATTGTAAGGTTTTGCGCCAAGTTTAGGGCACATATCGGTGTAATTGCACTATAATCTAGGAGATTCCTCTTTGAATTAAAACAAAGAATTGCTTAAGTTAATGTAGTCACACTCCCCCTGCATTGCAGTAAGGAAGGGACCTGTCTATTCAGTGTTGTTAGAATCCAGGCATTTTACCCCATTGTCCAAGAATGATAATTGAAAGAAATTGCATTTTTGGAAAAGGGAGATCATTAACTGCTTCAGTGCTATCTAGGTATACCCAATAGATACAAATTTAATGCATGTAAGTGCACCTAGTGTGTGCAGTTTCCTAAAGTTACTACTTGCCCTAGGTTTCAAGTTTTTCAGCCTTTATAGCATTTATTGATCACCTAATTGCTCAGCATTGTTTTAGGCACTGTGTATATAGCAGTGAAAAAAAAGCAACTTCTTGTGGAGCTTACTTTCTAGTGGGAGAGGTAATAAAGAATATAGTATATTTGATGAAGAGCATTATGGAAAAATAGCAGAGACTGGATGGAGAGTGCCATTGGACAGGATTGGTGAGGTGGTCAGGGAAGAAAAAAAGAACAGGTTATTTGAACAGTGATTTGATGGTGATACAGGAGTTAGCTGTTTGGATAATATGGAGTAAACTCATTCTGGGCAGTAGGAAACATGAGGGCAAAAGGCCTTGCTCTGATGGATGTGTACTTGGTTGTATTCAGCGAACACTAGGCAGAATAATAGAACGAATGAGGGTGAGAGGAGTAGGAGATGATGTCACAGAATCAGAGGGCCAAATCACATAGGAACTTGGGGACCATTGTAAGGCATTTAGTTTACATTCTGGATTATATTGAAAACTGTATTTGAAGGTTTTGAGTCTACCAGTGATACACGTACTGACTTGGGTTTTAAAGGGTTCACCCTGCCTGTACTTGAGAATAGACTCTAGGAAGGGTTGCATAGGAGCAGGGAAACTAGTTAGAGGAGATACTATAATCCAGGCCGTAGGGAGCCTTCCAGATTCTCTAAAACTTGGGTTTTATTTTTTTTTTTTTTCAAGATGCCTCATGGTAATGCTTGGAGTCTAATAAAGTAAATCCAATCAATGTCTTTGCAGGTTTTCTTTATTCTGATGAGTTTATTTTTTAAGAGTATATACAGTCAGCCCTTGAGCAACTCGAGTATAATCCACATATAATTTATAGTCAGTCCTATGAATTCATAGTTCCTCTGCATCCTTGGATTCAACCAACCATGAACCACATAGTATTGTATTTACCTGAAAAAATATCATGTGTAAGTGGACCACACAGTTAAAACCCATATCGTTCAAGGGTCCGCTGTATAAAATTCTTTTTCTTTTTTTTAAACATTTTTTATTGATTTATTATCATTTTACAATGTGTCAAATTCCAGTGTTCAGCACAATTTTTCAGTCATTCATTTACACACTCATTGTCACATTTTTTTCTCTGAGTTATCATAACATTTTGTGTATATTTCCCTGTGCTATACAGTGTAATATTGTTTATCTATTCTACAATTTTGAAATCCCAGTCTATCCCTTCCCACCCCTCCACCCCCCTAAAATTCTTAGTAAGTTTGAACTAAAGTTTTCTCTAATATGTTACCCATGAAACTATTAATGTATTTTTAAAGGCAGTAGAGTGAGAAATTAAAACATTATCATTTGAACTCTAATAATATGGATACTGAAGTTTTTAGGGGAAAGTGTATTAGTAGGAAAAAAGAAAACTGTGTTGATGGATGAAAGAATGGCCAGGTATATGATAAGCATAGTAGAATAGTGGTATTTGGATTTTTATTTACTGTGAAACTTACTAGCTTTGCTATATGCGTGACAATTTTCCTAATAAAATACTGAGAAAAGTTACTTAGCTGAGACAGTCAATTTAATACTGCATTTTTTTCTCCTTTCCAAGAGTCTTTTTGGTAAATATTTTTGCTTTTGTTTTCAGAAATTACTTTCGGAACTCCAAAAGCTATTTATGAGTAAAAATGAGACTTACGTGTTGAAATTATGGCCTTTGTTTGTCAAACTTCTTGGGAAGGTAAGTCCACAGTTAACAAATACGTTTTACATGCCAGACCCTTCCATCTCTTTAACTTTCCATAGTACAGTCGATTCTCATTATTCATACACAGCGTGCATGAATTGAGTTGCTCATTAAAATTTATTTATAAACCCAGCACCAGTACTTGTGCTGCATTCAGTTGCAGTCAGTCACACATGTAGAGTGGCAAAAAGTTCGAGTCCTCCAGCACACGTGTTCTTGGCTGAGGTTGAGCAGAGTTTTGCTCTGCCTTTTTGCTTTAACTCTTAATATCCTTTAAACGAATGTCTGTTTCATGATGCATTTAGTGCTACATTTTTCATGTTTTGTGCTTTTCCTTGGTGATTTCAGCGTTAAATGGCCCCAAGTGTAGTGCTGAAGTGCTGTCTGTGCACTGTTTCCCTTAGGGGGAAAATACATGTGTTAGGTAAACTTGGTTTAGGCATGAGTTAAAGTGCTATCTGCTGTGGGTGCAGTGTTAGTGAATCAACAATATATATTACATAAGGTCTTTAAACAGGAAAACATAAAAACATGGTTATGTGTCAATTGGTTGATGACAGTGTGATCAGAGGCTTGCAAGAACCTAACCCTGCATTTTCCCTAGTAGCTGTGGCTCAGTATTCACTAATACATTGTTGAGGCACTTTATAGAATGTAACTGTGGAGAATAATGAGAATCAACTGTATGTTTTCTTTAAGCCAGGTTTTTTTTTGGGTGGGGGAGTGGGTTCTTTATTGTGGTAAATAAACATAATATTTGTCAAAACTATCCTAAGTATACAATTGAGTGGCGTTAAAAATATTTACAAGTTGTGTAAAACATCACCACTTGTCTATACTCAGAACTTTTTCTTATCACCCCCAACAAAAACTATACATGTTAAATAAACAGTGACTCCCTTTGACCCTTTCCCTGCAGCCCCTGATAACCTCTGTTTTACTTTCTGTATCTCTGGATTTGCTAATTCATAAGTTTTGACCTTTGATCCATTTTGAGTTTTTGTATATGGCATATAATAAGGGTAAAGCTTCATTCTTCTGCATTTGGATACTCAATTTTCTAAGCACTGTTTTGTTAAAAAGACTGACTTGAATGGTCTTGTCACTCTTGATGAAAATCAGTTGACAGTATATGTGAGAGTTTTATTTTGGGATCCCTGTTCTTCTGGTGTATGTTTGCCCTTTTACCATTACCATAAGCTATAATTATGGTAGTTTTGTAGTAAGTTTGGAAGTCAACGAAGTGAGTCTTCCAACTTTTTTTTTTTCCAAAACTGTTTTGGCTATCTGGGGCCCTTTGCAATTCCATAATGAATTTGAGGAACAACTTTTATTTTTCAGTGAAAAAGGCCATTGGAATTTTGATAGAGATTGTGTTCAGTCTGTAGATTGCTTTGGGTAGTATAGACATTTTAATGACATTCAGTCTCCCTCTTCATGAACACGAGATGATTTTCCATTTATTTAGATCTTTGCAAATTTTTTTCAACAGTGCTTTGTAGCTTTTAGTTTAAAAGTCTCACTGCTGGATTAGATTTATTTCTAAGTGTTTAATTCTTTTAGATGCCATCTTTTAGATGCTATTGAAAGTGGAATTGCTCTTCTGATTTCCTTGTTAGATTGTTCACTGCTGTTGTAGGTTGGTCTTGTATTTTGCAACACTGCAAATTTATTTTATTAGCTCTATTAGCTTTCTTGTGGATTCTTTTTGAATTTTTAAACCATTTTTTGTTTGTTTTTTAATTTTTGTATTTTGTTCAGATTATGTGTGGACTGTAGCCACTTAGGACTGTTAATGTGCTATCTTTTTGTGTATTTTTTTCCTTGGTGTGCATTCTTTGATGTCATTTGTCCATTTTTCACTTAACTGGTTTTCCTGACTATTTCCATGTATTTGGAAAGATTATTAGTCTCAGGTTTTGTTTCTTATTTTTTCTTTTATATTTAAATTTTTTCATATGGATTTTTTTTAATATGTTGGTAAAATTTAGGATTGTATCTAACATTTCTAATGTTCTCTAGTGCTTCAGAAATGTGTATTATGCACTGTTTTGTATACTTCAGAACTTTATATTTTGTGATCTTGAATTTTGAATATGCATACAGAATTCATTAGTTTTAAAAATTTAAACTCCTTAAATTTTACACAGCTAACACAGAATGAATTAGATAAATGAATAATAATAGTGCCTATATATTGTTTCAGGTAAATAACTTCTTAATGATTTTCCCTTTTTAGACCTTGCATCGAAGTGGGAGTTTCATCAATTCTCTATTACAGTTGGAAGAACTGGGATTTCGTAGTGGCACACCCATGATTAAAAAAATAGCTTTTATTGCTTGGAAGAGTTTAATAGATAATTTTGCTTTAAATCCAGGTAAGTAAGTAATTTTATAATTTTGATTTTTTATGACTTTTACTTATGATTAAAAACACAGCTTTTCTGATTTTTTTGGACTCTATTGAAATTAACCTATCATGGACTATTTTAGGGGACTAAATTTGTAGCTAAAAATAAAGGTTAAGCCTTATTGAAAAAACAGATACAAAATTTATTTTATGCTATTTCAAAAACTGAACAAAATGACAAATACCACTTGTGGCTTTCTTAGTGCACTCCAGCACTTAGTTGAGCACTTTATCAAAGGTCACAGAGCCAATAGATGATAGCAAACAATTGTGATTGCTGTGAAGTAAAAGTATCAGTGGTTGATGAACTTCTTTATTTCAGGACCTTTAGAACAGTACTTAATAGGGAGTTAGCATTAACATTTAGAAGTGATTCCTCTTGATTTACTGTACCCTTATCTTGTTATTATCTGTTGCAGGTGTTTGATATATATATATATATATATATAAAAATATAAAACAGAGTATTTCGCCCAAAAGTAGGTCAGTATGAGTACCTGCTTAACTGGGTTGTTAATCTTAGGTATGATGATACTGTTTAACAAGATCTGGTAAATAATGTTGATCTCATACTCTGCTAAAAGATCCTTGCTAAAGACCATTAATAATTCTTTTTCTTCCCTTTTAAAATATGTTTTATAAGGTAATTATTTTCATTAAGTAGAATTACTGTTATTGAAAGTATTAATACAAGAGCATTGCCAGGTCCAAATTTTAATTGGAAATGTCACCTTTTTTTGGTTATTGCTTATGAAATGGCAGTGTTAGATATTGTTTAGTATTAAATTTTGTTGGATTATGTGTAGTTGAGTGTTACAGCATAAAATAGGAATGACTTAAGATAAATAAAATGCTATCATTTGAAGTAACTTCAGAGCTAGAGAGTCTATGACTGAGATTATGGATCCTGGAAGTCATTAAGGAATTAGATGCCTATTTTCTGTTATCACCTTCAGTATGCTTTAATTGCAGACTTCAGGAAGGAGAGAAGGCAAATGGAGCAAAAATGAACTTCTTCCCAGCTGACTAAGCTATCTATAAAGAATGTTTCAGAACTTCCATGTACAGTTCCAGTTATATCTCACTGGATAGAATGGCTAAATGGGAGACTAGATAAAGCAGTCAAAAATTGGACACCCGTCATGGTTCTGAGTGAAAGCAGGTCTTGTAACTAGAAGAGAATGGATTATTGCGCAGCAGTTTTTGGTATTCTCATCCTCTTGTGCAGAATAGGAGTTCAAAAAGTATTAGAGGATTTGTTTCCACAGTGATCTGACTTTATTTTCTTTTTATAGGACTGTTAATTGAAAGGTGAGTGGCAGAATAGTTGTAAGAAACATTGATGAATGTTATTCCATCAAATACATGGCTTGACAGATGTTTCATAATCCTTTAAAAGTCTTTGATAAGTTGTTTGAGCAGACTGTCTTATTTTATATATCTTCAGTCACAGTCACATAGTAAACACTTCTGGTATAAATATTTGGCTTAAAGAAGTGTATTTAATGTTTTTAGTATTTATGCAGAATTTTAGCAGTCTGAATATTATTAATGTAGAGTATACCTAAATCTAAATGAATCTATTTACATTTCCAAAATCTAATTAATGGTACTAACAGTTAAAATGGTTGATGAAAGGAATTAGTAGTAAATTTTATAAATGACAGCCTTTTTTGAGGTAAAAATATGCCTCTTTTTTAATCTGTAAGGTGCAGATAATGAGAATACAAAGCAGCATGGAAAGAGTTTCTCAACATTTTGGCATATTTGGCTTGACAGTTTGTTTCCGAGAACTGCCCTGTGTGTTAGAGGAAGTTTAGCAGCATACTTGGATGCAGCCCACTAGATACCAGTAGCAGTCTTCATACCACTGTCAGTTATAACAACCAAAAAGATTGTAGATGTTGCTGAATGCTGGGAAAATCTCCCCTGTCACATGGTATCTAATAAATACTAATTATTTTTCAAAGTCAGCCTTATTAAGTATTGTGGCCTAGCTGTACTAGAGTTTATCAAGGTGGAAATTTGGGATGGAACAGGAACAGCTGGTGATTAAAATAATTTTTTTTAAACATCTTTTCTCTTACTATGGTAAAAGACTATTGCATACTCATTCTTGAAAGACTTGATCTTTAGTTCTTAAATGTTTTTACCTGGGTACTTCTTTTCTTTTAAGAAATACTATGTAGTGCAAAGAGACTGAAGTTATTAATGCAGCCTTTGAGTTCCATCCATGTGAGAACAGAAACTCTAGCACTGACAAAACTAGAAGTCTGGTGGTATTTATTGATGAGACTAGGACCTCATCTTCCTGCTAATTTTGAACAGGTAACATTACAGTTGTTGACTATAATACTTGATGTGTTTCTTAAACTAGTATGTTCTTAAGTTCTTACCAATCTAATCTTTCAGTGCTGTTTTTGCTATGTCTTAGCAGACCGCATTACATAAAAGATCTTTTTCCTGCTGACACTGAATTTGAGTTCATTTCCTCCAAAGGATATTCTTCAGTTGTCTGAAATTGAGCCTCTGAAAGCTTTTTGATAACAAACACTCAAATGTCTATTCTTACTCTGGAGTCATGAAAGATTTTTAAAAAGGAATTTCATAGGACTTAGAATATAATTGAGAGTAGAGTAAATATTACTGAAATAGAAAGTAGATGCAAAGTTGGATTAGTTCTAATTCTTTGTATCTCTTTGGCTTGTATGTATGACTACATAATGATAACCGATCATTTAATTCAATTGTAGCTTTTCATTATTGTTACAAATGAGTTTACAGTTTCCTTTAGATTTTGATACCCTTGCTGGCATTTAGACATAAAGCTTAATCTTATTTTCATTTTTGCAGTTAATCCCATCCTTGATTTCCGAATTATTTTACAGTTAAGTAAAAAAAAAGTTAGCTCTGATAACTCCTTTTGTCTTTTTCATTCTTTTATTGCTTATCTTGGGTCTTGGAGTACATTTTACTTTTGCATATGTAGTCCTTGTCTTCTAGTCCATATAAATAACTGCATAACAGTGAATGTATTCTTGCAAAAGGGGAATTTATAATAAATATACTTGAAATTTTTTTAGCAAGTTCTTTTTAAATTTTTAACTGTTTAATGTATTAAGGCTTTTAAACTTTAATAGAGCATGAGCTAATTAAAGTTTGACTTTGATAGTAATACGTAATTGGGGTCATAATTTTTCCAGATTTTACCATTATAAGGTCCTTAATCTTATCCAGTTGTCCCATACATTCCTTAGTATAATCTACTCATAGGCTAGATTCGACAGATACTGGAATGATCTTAGAAATGAACTTGAAGGTGTCTTAGTTCATATTTTCTTAGGATGTATTTTAAAAAGCTTAAAATGGTTTGTCTACCAATAGCATTAAAACTCACATAGATGTTATTTGCAAAAGCTGTTAGTGTCTATAGTTTTCCATCTGGAATTTAGAATTGAAATTTATAGATAGTAAATATTTAGGGCAAATATAGTTATAATAAAAATTTTCACTTTTCCAAATTTCAGTTTTTAGCTTGTGCGTTGAAAAAGCCAATAAAATTCAGCATATCAAGAGTTCAGACTACTTCTTAAGCTCTATTATGCAGTACTTAAAAAAAATAGAGTTAAAAGAGAATTATGCAGTTTACAGATATAACTGCCCCTTTTTTAACCCCAATAGGTTTGTGTACCTCTGATTCAAAGCACCATAAGCATCGATTCCAGTCCTTTGCCTCAAGGCAATTCATCTCGTGTAGCTACTTCTCCAGGTTTAAATCCTATGAGTCCTATACACAAAGGTAAGAGGTAGACCAACTTCAGTTTTTTTTTTTCCTTTTCTTTTTTAAAAATAGACACTCTGAATGAAGTCTTTGCTCTGTGCCATTCACATAAATGAAGCACTTCATAATTTTGGCTCCCTTATCACAAAATTCATTATATATTCTTGATTGTTTTCTGTATGTGTTACTGCTTACTGCTGTAGTTTCATTATTATAGTTGGAAAAGATCAGTTTTTTTCCCCTACGTTGTGTGAAGCGTGGATTACAGACGTTTATGTTTGTTTCAGCATTAGATTCTAAGTTTGAGGAATGCATGCATGTTAATATTTTAAGGTATGGGTTTTTTGTGTTTGTGTGTGTGTGTGTATGTGTGTGTGTGTGTGTGAATTTAGGGTCGGCTCCAAGATTTTTTTCTTTTTTTTATAGACTGTATTCTTTTAGAGCCGTTTCAGGTTGGTTAATCCCCAAGAATTACCTTCATTTAAATGGTGTGTGACACTAATCTTGTTCTTAACCTAGTAAGATTAGTATTTAATTAGGCACTCTGCTGTGGCTTTAAACAAAAACTCTTCAACTTTCATTTGAAAAACAAATTACTTACTCTTAAAGGTACATTTCATTGAAATGAAGTGAAATATATTCATTTGGGTAACTGATTTAAGCTTATGTAACTTACCTGTTATGTTTTTTTAAAGGTGCTTCTCCATATGGAGGTCCTGTAACTCCCCGGATGAACTTGAGTTCAAATTTTGGTGGAATGGCCACAATCCCCTCTATTCAACTTTTGGGGCTTGAAATGTTGCTTCATTTTTTATTGGGTCCGGAAGTCTTGAGTTTTGCCAAGCAAAACAAACTAATACTGAGCTTAGGTATTTAATTGTTTCAAAAATAATTTTAATTATTAAAACTAGTGGTTACCAGTGGAGAGAGGAGGGCAGTATAGGAGTGAGGGATTGGGAGGTACAGACTATTGGATGTAGTAAGATAGGCTCAAGGATGTAGGATGTACTGTACAACTCGGAGTATAGCCAATATTTTGTAATAACTAAATGGAAAGTAACCATTAAAAATTGTATAAAAATAAAAATTGAAAATATTTAAAAAAATAGTTCACAACACTGTACATTGGGATGAGGAGAAATACTTTCTCCACAGCCAAAATATTTTATAGCTATGTATAAAATAAGTGTCTTTTTATTAGAAAGCGTATCAGGCCACCTAAAATGTTAGAAATTTATTTCATAAAGCTTTCATTTTGCAAATTGTCTCTTGCTCTCTCTTTTAGAGCCACTTGAACATCCGTTAATCAGCAGCTCTTCTTTTTTTTTCAAACATGCAAATACGCTTATCACTGCTGTTCACGATAGTTTTGTTGCAGTTGGAAAAGATGCCTCTGGTAAATATTTAGGAGAAGATTTTTTTATCGTTTAAACCTGTGTTTAAAAAGAAAACAAAACAGTAAATATGTAATGCCACGTGTTGTCCAGATTGTACGCAAGAGCTTTACATATAATCCGTTTAATCTTCATAGCAACCTTCTGTGTTAGCCCATTTTGCAGGTGAGGAATTGTACAGAGAAGTAAATAACTTGTGCAGACTTACACAGTAAGTGATGGAGATATGATTCAGACCTGGCTTCTCTGGCTCCAGCATCTACACCTAAACTCCTGTGTTCTGGAGCTTATTAAGTAATGAGGACAGATACCAAAAATTAATAGGTTGCTGTTTAACTGGCTGGGAAATTTTTTTCTAGTGGTTTTCAGGTATCCTTCTGAATTTTTAATTGTTTTTCTTTGTCTCAAAAGAGAAAGATGTTCATTATAGAAAATACAGAAGATGGAAAAAAAAAGAATTGCCCTTAGTATATTGCATTCTTTTTGGAAAAAACATTTCTTTAAACAAAATGAGGTGATACTGTATTAAATTGATTACAAGGTTGACTATAACGAAGAGAATTATATTTTAAATTATTAAGTATTGTTCAGTTTATAGTATAAGGATGAAAGAGGGGCATTTTTAGCCATATCTACTTTATTCTAAAGTACTTAAGTTTTGCTTGACAGATGCAGTTATCAATGCTATTTGGAAGGAGCTAATTAGCTTGGTGAAGTCAGTTATTGAATCAGGTAAGCACTATAATGATCAAAGGAGTTTTTTATAGCACTTGATGAATTGTTTGGCTTTCATATATAAAGTGTATTTTAAAATCACTTTTTGAAATGTCGTATCTTCCAGTCTTTTAAACAAAACACTTTGATGATTTAGTAAAAAACTACTTTTTAATAGCTCTCTGTTAATTTTTACACCTAAAAATACCTAACATGTTTAGAACTATACCCCTCCTTTCTCTTTTTGATAGGTAACAAAAAAGAGAGGCCAGGTTCTGAAGTTTTGACCCTCTTACTGAAATCTTTGGAAAGCGTGGTGAAATCAGAAGTATTTCCTGTGTCAAAAACACTGGTAAGTGTAATACGTATATGCTGGAATTTTAAAACCGTATTCTAAAATTGAATTTTATGTTGAAACTACTTGTACAGATTGGGATTTGGAAAGATATTTTATATCAAGTATTTATCATCAGTTTAGCCTTTGTAATAAGTTATATTCAAATGACGCTAGAGTCATTTGACACTTCTTAGCAGATGAATATAATGGCAACTACAATAATCTTCCAGTGTGATAAGAAAAAGAATAAGCCATACAGAGAAAATGTGATAAAGGGCATGAAAACTTAAATCGAAGAAACTCAGATGAGCACTAATTTTATGTCAGAATTGCTGAGCTCCACCAATTGTTAGTTTGTACATTTTAAAAAATATCTAGTGATAATCTTACAGAGCTTTTTTAAAATCTGCTCTCTTTAACCAATATAATAACTTTGGTATTAAGCACCTGTTCTATCCTATATGGTAGAGAAGGAAAAACCAAATTGTATATACTTCTTGTAATAGTGAGTCTCTCCAAATAAGCTACAGATGGAAAATAATATATACCCTGACATAAATTGAGTCTGTTTCCTTTATATACAGTGACAAGGATGTCTACTTTGGCAGTAGAACATAGTGGTTAATAGCAGGGGCTGTGGTACAGACTGAGTCCCAGCTATTAACTGAGTTAACTTGAGCACTTCATCTACTCTCTTGCCTCTCTGGAAGGAGGAGATAGAGTAGTTAGTTCATAATTAAATGAGTTGATAAATGCAGAGCAGTGTGGGGCTGGAACAAAATAAATGAGTCAACAAATGCTAATTATTGTTATTAGAGTCTGCTTCAAATGAGAATATGTGAAAGCATATTTTCACTAAACATAATTATTTTTGTCACATAGTTATGTCACTTAAGTTACATAGCTCAGGTTAATACTAGTATGGGTAATATTTGATGACAGTTTAGTAGGCTCCATCATGTTTGAGAGGTGTATCTTAGACTCAGCTTCTAGTTAGCAATCCTTTGAAATATTTGCTTCTGCTACTAGTGAGTACATAATTCATTGCAAATTTTTTTTTGGTAGTATAAAAAGTAGAAATAGCCTCAAGGCCCATTAATTTTAAACATATTTGAATAAACTGTGCATGTCTGTGTATCAAATAAGAATGTGTCTACATAGACTGATGTGAAAACTCCTTTACACAAATGAAGGAGGTCAGTTCTAGAGTATCTCACAGTATATCATTAATGATATAAAAATATATATATGATGGCCAGACTAGGAAGGTATGTTTCTCTGTGTACTTACGTATATGGAAATTTAGGTCTAAAAAAATTAACTCCAAACTGATAGCATTGATTATCCCTGGAGATAAGAAAGGACTTTGTCATTTCATTTCTTGTATTTCTGTGTTTGAACTTTTAAAATTAATGAGAATGTATGTATATTAATGAGTGAATGTTTCTTACAATAAAATTTCCAAATATAGTTAATACTATTAGATTTTTACTAAATAAGGTATAACTTCTATGGCTGATGTACAGTAAAACTTTCTATCTTTCTTAGGTCCTCATGGAAATTACAATTAAAGGACTTCCTCAGAAAGTATTAGGTTCTCCAGCATATCAGGTTGCTAATATGGATATTCTTAATGCAAGTATCTTAAATGTAATGGTATGATTAACATTCGCTAACATAAAGTTCCATGATTTTTTTTTTCTTAAGACAGTGAAACTTAGATTGCAGAATTCCAAGAATGAAATTTGAATATGCTGATTAAAGAAAAAAAATGATAGACAAGGTGCACCCTTACCATAGAGATAATTGCAGCTTTGGTTACAGACCACCACAAGAAAACGAATATCACAAGAAAGCAAGTCGTGTGAAATTTTTGGTTTCCCAGTGCATATAAAAGTTAATGTTTACACAGTACTTTAGTCTATTAAAGTGTGCAATAAATAACATTATGTCTAAAAAAGAACTATTTACATACCTTAATTAAAAATTACTTTGCAAAGTGGTTCCAGAGGCCTAGCTTTTGACCTTTCTTGACTTTTGACATGCTTTCAAAGCTTAATCATTTCTAGCTTTAACTGAAAGTGAGAGATGTGTAACTCTTCCTTTCACTTGAACACTCAGAGGTCATTGTAGGGTTATTAACTACTCTAATTTCAATATTGTTGTGTCTCAGGGAATGGGGAGGCCAGAGAAGGAGAGAGACGGGGGGAATGGCTGGTTGGTGGAGCAGTCCAGACACAATATTTATTAAGTTTGCCACCTTATATGAGTATGTTTCAAAACAATTATAATAGTAACATAAGAGATCACTGATCATAGATCACTATAACAAATATAATAATAATGAAAAAGTTTGAAATATTTCAAGAATTACCAAAATATGTCAGAGACATGAAGTGAACAAATGCTGTTGGAAGAATGGTGCTGAAAGACTGGGTCAACTCAGGGTTGCCACAAACCTTAAGTATGTAAAAAATGCAGTATTGCGAAGCACAGTAAAACAAGGTACGCTTGTGATAGATTAGTGTGAAAAATTAAATATGGCGCAATTATTTGAACAATTTTCTTGAATTAAATGAAGGATTCTAGAAGGAAAGTTTTCTATTTGCCTTTATATAATAGTGCTGGTTACTGTTAGAAATTTTGGAAGCTTAGTAACATTGGTTTAATTATGGTGAAATATATTTAACATCTGCAGAATGTAGGTATTGTTGATCCAGCAAGTTTAAGTCCATGTTCTTTTTTAATCTGGAATCCCTCACTATTCAGTTGCTCATGCAGATGTGTTAGCTATTATTAAAATATAAAGGACTTGATTTTTGTGTGCAGTTTGTAGAAATTTATTGCTCATTTTTGTCATATCCCAAGTAATTTCCAAAGTTAAATTTCTCAAACTTAAAAGGGTTGTGTTTCATATAATCAATTATAGAAAGTAAGTGTAATAAGAAGATTGTACTCTTTGTAACAAGATTGATTTTAATCTCCCATCTTTCTTCAGGGAACTCCTGCTTTGTTCTTAATTCAGTTAATTTTCAATAATAAACTCTTGGAAAATGGTGTAGAAGATGAAAGGTAATTTTAAATAAAATATGTTTATCTTAGAAGGTTACTTATGTGATGATATATTTGAGTTACATGCTCTATTATAAATTTTCTAAAAATTAAAATAAGAGGATTCATTTGTTTTTTTGTAAGTTATTTTTATAATTTTGCTATAGTATAATGTATTTCGGTAGGAAATACAGTTAATGCATAGTTCATATTTTTTCCCTTAGGTTTTTTCTCAACCTGGAAACACTTGTACGCTGTGTTCTTTCTGGTCCAACTTCACCACTAGCTTTCAGTGATTCTGTCTTAAATGTTATTAATCAAAATGCAAAACAGTTGGAAAACAAGGAGTATCTTTGGAGAATGTGGAATATTATAGTCACTCCATTAACTGAACTGATTAATCAGGTATGATGTAAGTCAACTGCATGTGTCCCCCCAAATTTAAATATCTTCCTTTTTTTCCTTGTTAGAGCAGCAGGGGTATTTGAATAGAAGTTTGCATTTAAATGGAAGGTATTAGGTTTTTTTTTCTGTGGGATTGGTTAATTTTCTACTCTTTAGATGAGTTGATTTCTCTTCACTGTATTTCTGCCTTGTTGTTTAAGAAAGTGTAACTTAGTGGGGGCTAAACAATCCATATTCTCCAATAGTGATTAGAATGACAGAAGGCTCACATATGATATATACAGATTCCCGTTTATATCCTATATTCTTTCAGTATTTGTATTGTGGGGAGTAACATGGGCATCTTGACTAGACTGTATATTCTTAGGATTCCATGGTTGAGTCACATTGGTGATTACTTCAAAGCCATATAGTAGTTCCTAAATCATTAATTGTTCAGAGTTGACTAATCCTTACATTTAAATACTTATAAAAGTGGCAGTATTGTTAGTGTGTGGGGCTCAAGTTTTGTCACTATTTATAGTTCATCAGCTGCTTTATTAATCTTTAAATGGAATTATTCTTTATGAAATATTCTGCTGTAACTCTCGACTGGAGTGAAGGCTCCAAGGAATTTATTACATGATTGTGCAATATAGCCTGTATTTTGGCTAGTCAAGCCAACACCACATTAAACATATTCTTATGGAAGAAAAAAATTGACGTTCCTAGATAGTTTCTCCCTGTTTGAAGGATGGTAGAGTCCCTTTTTATCAGCCCTTGCTTGAATGCTGCCTTTTATGTATACTAAAAGATTTTGGGGTCATCCCTGGGATTCTTAATTTTAGGACTTAAAACACAGTTCGTTGTTTCCCAGGGTTCCTGTAAAAAATTACCACAAACTGGTGGCTGAAAACAGGAATTTATTCTTTAGTAGCTCTTGAGGCCAGAAATTCAAAATCTAGGTGTTGACAGGGTTGGTTTCTTCTGGAATCCTGAAGGAGAATGTGTTCTCTGCCTCTCTTAGCTTCTAACAATTCTTGATGTTCCTTACCTTGTGGATGCATCACTCCAGTCTCAGCTCCGTCTTCTCATGGCATTATTCCCCATATCTTCCCTGTCTATCCAACTTCCCCTTTTCTTACAAGGACACCAGTTATTGGATTAGGGCTCACTCTAAACCAGCATGACACCATTTTTACTTGATTATATCTACAAAGACCCTATTTCCAAAGGTTACAGAGGTTAGGAGTTCACTATCTGTTGAACATGTCAGCACTGGGGACACAATTCTACTCAGTATGCATAGTAAGATGTTCCTGTTTTGGCCCAGAATTAAATGGTAATTTGTCTGACTTCATTATTTTTCTTGTTTCAGACCAATGAGGTGAATCAAGGTGATGCCTTAGAGCATAATTTTAGTGCTATCTATGGTGCATTGACTTTACCAGTAAACCATATTTTTTCATCACAAAAATTTCCAGCGGTAAGGCAAATTTTTACTTGAGGAACTTGTATTTTTCTTAAAATATTATGTCACCCTTTATAATGAACTCCTATGGTAATTTTTCCTAAAACAAAACTTCCTATGACTTTTAATCAGTTTAGGGGAAAGGAAACTGTTGAGGAAGAAAGAAGTTCCTCTTGACCTTTGATAATTACTGGTATTGTGGCAATACTAAGATTCTTCAGTGGGATGGGCAAACTCATTACTCTGTGCTTGTCTCTTTGACACCTTAAATGTTACTATGTTTCTAAAACGTTAAGGATGTATTCTGTTAGGTGTTTGATATGTAGATATACATTTTCTAAATTTCTTTTTTATTATTAGGCCACCATGAAGACCTTACTTAAAACTTGGTCAGAATTATATAGAACATTTGCCCGCTGTGCAGCTTTGGTGGCAACAGCAGAAGAGAATTTATGTTGTGAGGAACTTTCTTCCAAGATAATGTCCAGTTTGGAAGAGGAAGGCTTTTCAGTGAGTTTATCCTGATACCTTTTTCGCATTTAAAGGATTCTTTTCAAGTAAATAGAGATAACATTTGTGAACAATCATTTACTAATACTTTCAGTTTATAAGTAATGAAGTTAACATATAAAACAAGTAGCAGCTTTGTGAAACAGTTTTGTGTCTTTGGACTCTAAGGTCCATATGTCAGGACCATTTAACAGTGATGTGCTTTGACTGCACTGCTGTGTATCTGCTTGTGCCTGTGCTCTTCTAGGTTAACGATATAAGGACCTTGCTGTCCTGGACCTTACTTTGTCATATCTATTAGATCTTTACAGACTTCCAAAGAACTGGCTTTAGACTTCAAAATGTAGGTCCCTTTATACATCTTTAGTCTATAAAGAACAACTGCTGTTAACAGTTTGGTGGATAGAATAGACCTCTTTCTTTGCATTTAACCTTAAGTTACATATTGATGTTTACATATGTACTTGAATACAGCTTCTTGCCAATTGAAATTTATTGTAATTTATTACTCTGAAGCAGTCTTTTTTTCATCTGAAAAGAGAAATTTCTAGCTTTTGATAATAGTTACCCCCATCGAGAAGAGTAGAGGTGTCTTTCAGGAGTTAGAAATCCATCTTTTCAGATTTTTTTAATTCACTTATAATATTCTCTTTTTAAAAACATTGGTATAATTCTGATTATAGCCTTTTTATACTATAGTATTTGTCAGAGTGACTTTAAAAATGCAAATCAGATCTTGTCACTCTTCTTAAAATACTGCTTAGCTTTCTTTTGCATTTGGAATAAAAATCTGAACTGCTTACAGCTGCTAATGAGGCTTGTGCTTCCTTCTTCAAAAAATGTTATTTACTTAGTTTAGTTAATCTTATCCTAGCACTTTGTTACTTCCTTTTTGGCACTTACCTTAAAATCTTTTGTGTACTTCATTATGGTACTTTACCCACAGTCCATGAGGTTAGAGACCTGTCTTGTTGATGTATAACCCTAGCTTTTATCTGGCACAAAGACAATGAATTTTTTGAATGTTTTTGTAATTGTTAGGGAGAAGCTTGACGCTCGGTTTTCACCTTTAAAATATTGTCTTGGGTAGGCTTACAGATTTGCTCTCTTCTGGAAGAAATTTAGAATCTCTCAAGTTTTCTTAAATACCCTGTTAAGATTTTGGCATTGGTTGGTTATATTGAACTCATAGATTGATTCGGAAAAAAAATGTACATCTTTATAACATTGAGTTTTCCATTCAGGAATTTTTATTTTTAGTTTTTCTAAACTTAACCTAGCTTGCTTGATTCTAAGAATTTTAGAGCTGTTTTCAGGTTTTATAAATGGTCTCCTCCCTGTCCATTCTTGGTTGCTGTTGAAGTATATAAAAGCTGTTGTTAATGTACATTTCCATATATTGAACCAATCCTGTATCTTTGGGATACCCTTCTTGGTCACAGTGAAATTCTTTTGAAAAAATTGCAGATAAGTGTTTTAAGGTTTTTTGCATATATATTCATGAGTGAGATTGGAGTTCCTCATTGTCCACTTTTTGTGTTGTGGCAATAGTAAATTTACATGTATATGACTGATAGCTCCTTGTCCAATATGTAATAAATTAGTTACAATTTGTAGGTTCCAGAAAATTTGTATCACAGAGTTTTGAAAAGTTATTGTTCATTTGTTCTAGTTTCTATAGTACATTTTTCATTTTCTACAAAACATGCATCTAAGATTATTCTTTTATTATTGCTACTGTTGCAAATGCATCATTTGATACTAATCTTTTTTTATTTTTTTCCCTTACTAATCTCTTTTTTGGTTTGTAAAGTTTTAGAGTTTTTGTCTTGTCTTTGGAATTTAGACTTCACCAGCTTGTGTCTTGGGGCGTCCTTTTAAATTATTCTAAGTACTTGATGGGCTCTTTCAATCTGAAGAGCTGTGCCTTCATCTCAGGAAAAGTGCCTTGCTTTGGTGGTCCTCCTTGGTCTGTCTTTGAATACTGTTTTTAGGTAGTTTCTAGATCTTCGGGTGCCATCTTTTGTATCTCTTACTTTCTCTGTATCTTTCTGTTTTGTTTTATTTTCAGTACTGCTTTCTGGAAGCTTAATATTTCTGTTTCCATTCCTTCCTGTTTAAGTGCTGAGGTATCTTACGATAGTTTTATTTTTACATTTAATGTTTTTAAGTGGATATAATTATTTCCTCTTACTTTTGAGGATATTAGTTTCTTCTGTTTCTGTTACTGCCCATTTCCTCATGTATTAATTCTGTTGGTATTTAGCACAGCCTTTTCAAATTTGTCAATAAACGTTAATACTGAACAGTATTGATAGCTGGAATGTGTTTCCTAACCCAGGAGAGAACCTCTGGTTTTCTGGCTTTGATAGCAAATTGTAGTTACAGGCAAGCTTTGCCTTAAAATTGTGAACAAGAAGGAAGTACCTGGAACTTTAACATCTTCTCTGTGTGAATGTTGTGGTTATTATCTGATAACCTTCCCTGGGGTTTTTGTAGGTTAACTAGGGGCACCCCCTTCCTCCTTTTGGCTTTTAGCACCCACTGGGAGTGGTCTTCTTTGGTAGATGTGAATTAGTCCAGTGAGTTGGACAAATGGAAAGGTAATGGAGAATGAAGGAAGAGCAACTCTTCTTTAATTTCAGTATTTTAATTACCCATTTAATTTTTTAAATAATCATCAGATCTTTTTCTCAGAGCTCTCACTGTGTCTTTTGTTACTCAGTTTCTTCTAGGAAAGCTCATTGTTTTTGAGGTGTTCTTTGGCTCATGGTGCTGGAATTTCCTTTGTTCTGTTTTTAGTCTCTCCTGCCCTGCCTTTAAAAAAAATTTTCCAGAAAAATCTCAGGTGCTTCTATGGGTTTAGTTTTATTTCAGTTAGATTTGAGGAGGGAAGAGGAAGGACGAAAGAATATAAGGGAGCTTAGCAACTTTTTCATTTTTTTTGTTTTGTTTTTGCTGGATTTAGTGAACACTTAAGTAATTTTGAAGAGGAATTTGATAAAGAATCTAATTATGCACCTAACTCTTCTATTCTCAGTGTATTAGTTTTATAGCTCTTAAAGCTGAATTATTTTCCCTGTGTTTACTATACCACAAAAGGTATAGTAATTGTCACATGGCAGTTAACTGGGAAATATTCATAATCTTATACTTAATGTAACTTAAATGGCATAAGCTGTGACATGTGTATTGTATGTTATATGTGGGAGTTAAAGTCAGATTTTTGTTCATGCTTGCAATTTTTATAAACTCTCTTAGTAGTTAATAGGTTCTAACATAATATGTAACTATTCTTTCCTAGAATTTGTTGTTCTTGGATAGGATCACTCATATTATTACTGTAATGGTTGATTGCGTTGACTTTTCACCATATAATGTTAAATATCAGCCCAAAATTAAATGTAAGTATTTTCTTTAATTTTTCACCGAGTGTTTCACAATTAAGTATGGCTGTCTGAACTGTTGTCAAGGCAAATCCTAATAGCTTTTCCCACCTAACTTTACCTACTTTTGATGTTGTATAACCACGTCAGTTATGCTAGGAGCTCACATGCTTGCTCTCTTTCCCTCTCTGTCTCTCACACAGTGTCATACACACACACACATACACACACACACACACACGAAGTGTTTTAACTCCTATTTATAATGCGGAGACAAATATTATCCTGTATAGAGCTTGCCTAATAATAGAAGTAATTTTACCTAATCCATCTGGTACAAGGGATTATCTGGACAAAAAACTTTGACATTTGTTAAAATATTCTTATTTGGTAGCCTAATTTGAAGTAATCACTGGGTTGACATTCAGTTGAATAGAAAATCTTGACAGCAGTTAATTGGTTATGGTTTTATAGGAAATTTAAAATGATTCTGAAAATTTAACCCAGTTTTTACCATTTTAGTTAAAATTAGTTGAAATTGTAACAAGTCTTATTTTAAAACTATATGCCTTGATTAATTCTAAATCATATTGTAATAAATACTGAGCTATTTTAATCTACTATTTGATGCTTTGAAGTTATATATTTCTACCAGTGATTATATATGTTCATACTATATAGGAAATAACTTTCCAATAATGAAAAGTGTTGATGTTTAAAGATACTACTTTTCTTATTTAAAAATTAGGAACATACTCAGTTTTCTTTAGTAAGATCTATCTTTGGTGAATTAATGTAAAGATTTCTAGAAAATATTTTTAGTTTTTTTGTTTTGTTTTTGTTTTGGTGAGGGGGTGGTGTTTCAGGTTTTGCTAAACAGTAATACAGAGAAATATGTTAGGTGCCTAAACTGTATTACAGGTCAGAGCATCTCAGCCTCAGTGCCACAGAAACAGATTGTAGATGTGCTTGAATTTTTTAATCTTAACCCCTTCTCAGGCTGAGCAGGACTTAATCTGATTACCTCAGTGTGTTAGAAAAATTATCTCTAAATATCTTAACTATAAAAAGGTTATATGACAAATGGTAAAAGGAATTATTTTTTAAGCTACTGAAGTTTGATTAGGCCAAGATGTTGAGCCCCATGTTGACATAATTTTACCTATTTTGTTACTTCTGTAAAATATAATAAACTGAATATCCAGTCTGTCCATGATCCTTAAAACCATAATTAGAGGTATCTTTTGTCTTCACTCCTTGTCTTGCGAGAGGTATTCTTGCTGTTTAATTTATGGAAACTAGCCTAGGGGAGAGTTCTAAAATCTGCCAGCAGAAGTTGAAAGGAGAGGAAATAAAAATTAAACAGTTGAAAGAAAATTGTTATTAATGAATACGCATCAGGATCATTTTGGGAGTTTTTTGATAACTTTTATTTTGTGATAATTTGTTTTAGAGAAACATTGCAAAAATTATATGCGGATACCAAGCAACATCATGCTTTACTCAGATTCCTGTTTATCAGTTGATTGCACTTGTCTTATTTTCATCTTGCACTCCCATTTATTCTTCCCCCATCCTTCTAAACAGTTTCAAAGTGTATTGTAGGCAAGTCTTTGACCTGGACCATTTCCCAAGTCTTGTCTTTCATGACCTAAAGGTGAAGAGTAAAGGCAAAGTTACTTTTTGAGAGTCTCTCAATTGGGGTTTGTCAGTATTTTGTCTAGATTGGGTTGAGATTTCCTTTCTTCATGGGGATACTACAGAAATAATGCTTTATTTTTTAGTGTATTATGTCAATAGGCATACAACTCATTTTGTCCCATTACTGGTGTTAACATTTATTATTTGGTTAAGATGATATCTGCCAGGTTTTCCACTTTAACGTAAATTACTAAATATTTATAATTAATAAATTAATGTTTTGTGACAGATAATTTGAGGCTATATAACTGTCCTGTTCCCCAACATATTTTCACCGACGTTCTTCATCCATTGATACTTTATGCTTGAAACAGTATGTTTCCCAGAGTGATAGTTTATAGTTTATTTAATTACATTAGTTTGTATCAGGGAGTTTATCTCCTGTGTCTTTAATTATATTAATTATAAAACTCATCTTGTTTTAATTACTTACTCATTGTATTCCCATAATCATTCTACAATTATTTATCGAGCCACTACTAAAGCACCAGTCTCTTCCAGGTGCAGGTGATGTCCTAATGCAAGGTATGGCTTCCTCTGTCCCCTACCTGTTTTGTTTTTATCAACATGGATTTCTATTATTCAATAGAATAATTCAATAGAATAATAGAAATTATTTATTACTATTATTATTTAATGTTTATGTTGACTTCTGTGACCTTCTCATATGTTTCCATTATTCTTTGAGAACTTTGACTTAAGATGTTTAGGCTCATAACTATACTTTCCCTGCCTCAGCCTGGAACCAACCGTATCTCCACAGAATGTGGTTCCTTCTAGCTCAGAATGGCATTTAGAAACTAAGATCTGTTCATTGCTACTAAGGTGTCACTGCTTCTGGATCCTCTGAGCAGACAGGAGTGGGAGATATATAGGTGTGCTTGTGAACTACACGGTTATCTGTTTCTCTAGATTTACTTTCAGTTATCTTCTAGTATCACAAAGTTTATTCTGGGGTGAAGATACAGCTCAAGCACTAGAGCACAAGCTTAGTATGCACAAGGTCCTGGGTTTAATCCCCAGTACCTCCTCTAAAACTAAATAAACAAACAAACCTAATTACCTCCACCCTCAAAAAAAAACCAAAATAAATAAAAATTTTTTAAAAAGAAAAAAAATTTATTCTAGTCTTACCTTTTTTTGTATATACCTATCTTTAATAGTGAGAAACCTGATCCCCATTACCCTCAATATATTTACCGTTTGATCAGTCTCTTGTATGCAGCCAACTCACCTGACTCATGGACTGTCTTCTCAGCCTCAGTGTCCTGGCCAAGAATTTCTGGGTAGTCTTTCCAACTTACATTATTCATGTCTGGGAAACTGATTCTAGGGAAGATTTTGACTTCCTTTTAGTAACAACACTCATTTTTCATTCACCACGTGATACTTTTAATTAAGAAGCACTGAATTACCATTTTCTCTTGAATTTGAGGTATCTTAAAAGAATGGCTTATTTGAGGGAAACAGATGATTTTGGGAAATGTACGATTTTCTCGACCAGACATAATGGGATTATTGCTGGAGAGATGGAGTCTAAGACGAGTGCAAAGGAAAGTTGGAGAGATACACCTTTTTCTTTAAATTAGGCCTTTTTTGTCCTGTGTTCTTACTGAGGATTTGGATCTCTGACTTGTTCAATGTTAATTTGTAGGGTTCAGTGTAGTCTGTGAGCTAGGAAGCCATAATTTCTAAGGGAATTTTGCCTCTTACTTTTAAAATGGACTTTAGTTAAATTTTAATTTTGGAGCATATCTTATATAATTTAGTACTTTCTTACAAATTAGTTGTTGAAATTCCAAGACTAAGATAAAAATTTTAATACATTTAAAAATTCCTTAGAGAAAATAGACTTATTTTTCTGGAATTCTTGTTGTAGATCTGCCAAACAGTTTTCCTTTATCTCTGATTCTGTTTTACAGGTAAGGCTGTAGTGACGTTTATCCATTGATTTTAAGATTTATAGGTATCTCTCTACAGAAACAACATGTATTACATGTATCTGTCATGTAAATGTGAGGTATAAATTGTAAAGATGAACAGTGACACTTTTCAAAGCACTTGAATTTTTAAAAAATTCAATTTTATCTTAGCACCGCAGAGACCTTCAGATTGGTCCAAAAAGAAGAAGGAGCCCCTAGGGAAATTGGCTTCTTTATTTAAACTTATTGTGAGAGTGATCGATTCTTTCCATACTCTGAGCCTCAAGGAAGTACATTCTGATACTCTCCTCGCTATCGGCAACTCCATCATCAGCATTCTTTCCAATGTACTTGGACATGTTTCTTTACCTTCTGTGATCCGAAAAATATTTGCAACTTTAACAAGACCTCTGGCGTTACTGTATAAAAACTCAAAGTAAGTATTTTGAGCTTAATAGCTTTGAATTAAACCTATATGCCTAGATTTAGGCAGGCAACTCTTGTTGTTTTCCTATTGGCTTTGTTGTTACAGATTAATCTTTACAATTTAGTGGAGAGGGTGGTAGTATATGAAGTCATGCTTTTGTTAAAAAGATAGTTCAAATAATACGTAGATGTGATGTAGAAATTGAAAGTCCCTTTTTTTTGCATGCTTATTTCAACCCTCTTTTCAATTTAGTGCATGTCTTTTCAGAATTGTTAATAGAAAATGAGTATCTATTAAATGTATGATGTTTATGACTTGACACACTACTTTGCAGTTAAATGTATGATGTGCACTGAATATATTATATGCGTCTTTCGTCATACATCTAAGAAATCTCATTGTTTTTAATGTCTGCATAGGATTCCATGAAACTTTTACCTGATTTTCTGTTGGTGGACATGTATGTTTTCCAGTCTTTCCCCTCATAATTAACAATATCACAGTTGAACGTATTTGTACATTAATCATTGTCCACATTTGCCACTATGTCTGCAGAACAAGGCCCTAAAATTGAAATTGTTCAAAGGGTATGCACATTTAAATTTCTAAATTACCCTCCAAAAGTTTGTATTAATTTGCATTACTTTTTATATTTGAATCGAAGCAAGCTGTGCCTTAAAAAACCTGAAAAAAATCCCAAATAGCATACTTTTTTTAAAAAAAAAAGCTTTTTTAGGATTCATCAGTGTTCTTTATAGCTAAGCTTGTTTGGTTCAGTCATAATAGAGTATCTTTTCTAAATTCACAGAGAAAGTTTTAGGACCAGATTTTGTAAAGTACAAATTAGAACCCCAGATTAATTAAGATTTTGCAAGTCTATTTTAGTCCTTAAGCATCATCAAAAATAATAGGTGCTTTTTTAAAAAGAAGGTAAAAACAAATGACTAGTATTAGTACTTTTAGGTCTATTCCAGGTGTTTTTATTTAACTCCTATTTTAAAGACAGGTTTGTTTCATGCTTAATGTTTGCAGTTTGACATTTTTTGTTAAATCTTGGGATACCTGTTTATATCACTATACATCTCATTTTTTTTTGGTTGCGTTACAATGTCTTAAGTTTAATGTTCTAAAATATGAATGGTACTCTGTTTTTCTTCCCAGGCTCGATGAAGTTCCTAAAGTGTATAGTTGTATGAACAACAAGGTAAAAATAGACATTGTCCATAAAACATACTTTCATGATGAAAAATATTAGGACTTAAATAATTGTCTTCCTTAAATGTAATTTTGATTTTTTAAAGGGTTATTTTAATACTTTAGTTTTATGGACTTTTAATAACAAGACATGGATATAATCAAAGGATTATTTTTTAAAGACAGATTTAATAATATTGCTTTTAAACTCATATAACTCACTTCCTCCTGTCTTATCCCTTTATATGTGAGTGAGTGGTTACAAAGCTTTGAAGGTAAAATTTCTCTAGGCAGTTATTAATTTTGTATAATTTACGTGAAAACAATTTTTTCCATTAATGGAACATAAACTTGAATTTAGGCTTAATAATCAAAGTCCATTCTTGCCATCTTATAAAGATGGATACGTACTGAAGGTGATGGGAGCTTTTAAAAAACCATTTGAATTTTTAAAATTCAAATAACATGTTCTGTGAGTTAATTTAGTATGCTTTGTGCTTTTATTTTTTTCTGTTTGAGAAGTAAGATTTCCAGACTTCCAATAAACTTTTCCTTTTTCTTAGTTAGAAAAGCTACTGGGAGAAATTATTTCTTGTCTACACTTCAGCTGCACTGGAGCTTATGACAGTGAACTTCTTGAACAGATCTCGCCATTATTATGCGTAATATTTTCACACAAGAATAAACAGATTCGAAAACAAAGTGCTCAGTTCTGGAATGCCACATTTGCTAAAGTGACAATGTTGAACTACCCTGAGGAGTTAAAGTATGTTAATAATAAAACTTTATATAGTTATTTTGTTCTGATTATATAAATTGGCATTTTTGGTATTAACATAAATTTTCCTTATGAGGAATCATAGCAGAGGATTTCTTAGTTGAAGTATTTGGATTATGTGGTAATTAATACAAATTATTTGACCCTTTGCTCCTTAGAATAACCTTAGTGTCAGGAACATAAAAAGCAATTTCAAATTATCCTTAACAGAGACAATGCAAAGGGCAGGAAATTGATGGCTAGTAAATCTAGGCCAACAATCAAGTATGCATGGTTACTTAATGTAACAGTCTACTTTTGCTTGAATTTTTCTATGATTAAAATTTGGAAAATTTGAAAAGTTTACAGATTAAAATTTGGAGACCAAAGAGTTCAGTGAAAAATCCAAATATTGTCTGTAATTTCTACCAGTTTGATGTATGTAGAGTAAGAAACAGTCTTTAAGCTGGGATGTGTTTTAACACTTTAAAGTTATAATTAAAGTGTTCTCTTAACGTGTGTTAACATGTTACCAGTACTTACCAGTACTCAAGGTGTATGTATTTGTGTACTCTTTTGAAGACCAATACTAATACAAGCCAAACAAAAATTTCTGCTTCTGTTGCCTGGTTTGGAAAATGTTGAGATTATGGAGGAATCCAGTGGACCATATTCAGATGCAGTAAGTTTTTGTTTGTTTGGTTTTGGTTGGTTGGTTGGTTGCTCATTCTTTTGAATGATGTTTGAGTAGTTTATTGGATTTCAGTGTAAATTTAAAAAGGACAGAAACCTAGAATGTTTCATTGAAGTGATAAACAAGTAAAACCTGAACAAAAGAGCTCTATAACATAGGAGTTGCCCATATAGTTAGTTGTCTAGTCTAGAAAACTTATGAATTAAGGACAGTAAATTTCACCATAGAGTCCTATGTATGTAATGTTTCTTATACATTTATGGTCTTTTTTTTTTTTAACTGGCACCTTGTATGTATTTTTTTTGCAAAGGTTGGAATTATTTAAGTTTATGGTTAAATGTTGCTTTAGGTAAACTAGGAATATTAGGAAATTGATGGCTGGTAAATCTAGGTCATCAATCAAGTATACATGGTTACTTAATGTAACAATCTCTAAGCAAGAGCTACCCTTCATTTTCTCATTTCTTTCCATTGAATCTCATTCCTTCTGTCAGAAAAACGCATCCTTGTAATACTTGATTACTATCTGAAGAGTAAGGAGTAAAGATAAGAGTACATCCTTAGGCAACTTTTCCCTATTTAACAACAAATGGAATCCTAGCTGTTTTTTTGTTTTTTGTTTTTAATAAGAACCCATGTAAGGCAAAAAGCGTTACAGCTGGCTAAGTACTCTAGTTTAGTTTTTGGATAAAATAAAAATTTCATCAATTATGTAGACTTGTTGAGACTCGTTCAGTGTAATTTGGCCTGAAAAAGCCATATTGGGACCTGATAGTTAATATTTTCTGTCAAGCATGTTTTACTGTTTAAAGTTTTATGGCTTTGATATTCTTTTAGAAAAATTTCCAGTAATAAGAGGGGTATTTGAGCCCAGTAATTTGATTCATTTTAGTATTTATTTAGTATATCTTATTTTTTCAGATTTTGTAAAAGTAAATGATGCAAAAGAACTACTGCTGTTTAATTTGGAAATCTGTTTGCTGTTATTACATTAGACAGTGGCTTTCTTTTTTTGATGTGATCTTAGTAGATTTGAATAATTAAAAAATTTTGAAATGAGTGTTCATTACACTGGAATCAAAATGTGAAAAGGAAATAAAATGAGCATTTGCCCTTAATGAAATTGCTTTATTTTTACAAAAACAGACAGAAAATTCACAGTTAAATATGACAATAAGTGGCATGGAAAGAAAACCAAGTGGAAAAAGAGATTCCTTTTTGGCACAAACAAAGAGTACAAAAGAAAGTGTGAAACTACCTGCCAAAGTATGTTTTTCTAAAGTGTATTTAGTAGAACTTTTTAAGTTAAAATGTATGGAAGCTTGGGAACATAAAACTTTTAATTGGAAGAAAAAACTGAAAGACTAAATAAAAGATGGGATTGTAGGGAAGTAATAGAGTTTGGCCTAGAAAAACTGGATGGCGTGGAAATACAGAATCTTTGGGAGATGATTACTTAGTAAGGTTAAGTCTGTATAATACTTAGCATCCATTAAGTATAGTTAGTCCAGGCAGATGGAATGAAACTAGATATGAATAACTATAACATAGGTAGCATGAAAGAATATTTTATAACTTGTTCTTGAATAGAAAGAGAATGCCTAGGTGAGACATGCATTTTAACCTCAAATCTGAAACTAAATATCTAGTAGCTAATAGCCAGTTAACTGATTTTCAGACAATAATTTTTTCAGGATCTCCAATAAAGGAGTATTCTAGAATCTTGAGACCATGGCCCTGGCAAAAGGAAAGAAAAATGTTATTTTTAAAGAATAACTTTGACACCGTCTTGTAGCAATTGTAAATTAGAATGAAAAAACAGCTGCTAAAAATGTATAAAAATAACATAGTACCAATATTACTGGTATGGAGGGCATATTATTTTGGCAGTTTTTAACTTAATTTGACTAGTTTGTGCTTCAGCTTCAGAGCTGCAGAGTATCACTCTCCTACTAAACCATTTGTGTGTTGGCCTGAAAAACATTTGCCCGTGTTTTTTCGTAAGCACACATTTGCCTGCTTTTTAAAGAGCTATAATTTTTATTTTCTGAGTTTTTCATAATTTTTATTTTCTGAGTTTTTAATAGAGGCGGAATGAAAGTGAGGGACATTGTATTAGTTGTTATTAAGTAGAAATATTTTATGGATATGAACTTTACATTCCTAGTTATTATTAAACACTATCAGTGTGAGAAGAGAGATTGACATATTGAAAAATAATTTGGGAATTTAAATACACATTTATTTTTTAAATTTGCAGTTGCCACTAGACTCTTCAACTCCAAAACCAAAGAGTGAAATGCCTTTGGAAGAAGAAAAGTCTACTGACTTTGTGTTTATACCTCCAGAAGGAAAAGAAGCAAAAGAAAGAATACTAACTGAACATCAGAAAGAAGTATTCAAAGCAAAGAGGTTTGTACTCCTTTGTACTCTTGACTTGAGTATTCTGTATTTACATTTTTTTTTATTGAGTTATAGTTTACAATGTTGTGTCAGTTTCTGGTGTACAGCACACTTTCAGTCATGTATTTACATTTAGATCTTATGCAATGAACTATAATTTTGTGTTCAGAACTAAGATGCTGTGTATACTGTACTGTATTTTAAGTGCTAAGGTTAATTTCTAATTGTAGAAATATCAGATTTTTGAAGTTTAATATAAAAAATCTTTTTCAGGTGTGATATTCCTGCCATGTATAATAATTTGGATGTTTCACAAGATACTTTATTTTCTCAGTATAGTCAGGAAGAATCTATGTGAGTATGGAAGTTGTTGAAGTAACTAGTTTTCTAATTTTTAAATTAACAATACTCTAATTTATGCACTTATTTATTTCAGGGAAATTCCTACTTTAACTGAAAAATCAAAGGAACATTCCAAGATGGTACTTAAGGTATACTTGGTATTTTGTATTTCAGGGTATTTAGACTCACCCTTCCATTATGGCGTCACTTATATTAATACTAAGATTTTTGTATAATCTCTTAACTCTCCTTAGCAGACTTTAACAAAATTGTAGTCAGTGTATGTGGGTATGAGTGCAGTGTGTTTAAGTATATTTAGCTTTATTGAATACTTATAATTGGAAACACAAATTAATGGATATCTCCTACCACCTTTGGGATATTTGCAAAATACTGAAAGTTACATTACCTTTTGAATTACTGAAGTTTTATACAGAAATTTCCCCAGAATGTCAGACTTGTTTGCTGGTTAATCTGTATGTATATGTACATTTCTGTGCAGGAAGAACAAAAGGAGAGTGACAGTGTCATGCCTCAGCTTGTCATGGAAAACTGTGGTATGGATGAACATCTTGAAAAGGCTTCCTTTTCGAGTAATGAGTGTGGTTCTATTGAGAAAACCAGTCCAGAAATACTGAGCAGTAATAATGATGCCAGAAAAAAAGCTTTAATTGCATCAAAGAAAACGCCGACCGAATGTGCACCTAGTACAGAAAATACTTATGGTGTCAGCAGTAGCTCTAATGCCACTATTCCTGGAGCTCCCCCACAGCCTACAAGTCGAAGGCAGTCCTTTATTACTTTGGAGAAGTTTGATGGTTCAGAAAATAGACCTTTTAGTCCATCCCCCTTGAATAACATGGCATCAACTGGTACAGTGAAAAATAACCAGGAAGGCACGACTAAAACAGATAATCCACCAAAAGCAAAGAAAAGAGAAACGGCTCTTTCAAAATCTGACTCTGAAAAAATAGTGCATGGGAGTAAGAGATCAGGCCGAAGGTCAAGTAAATCTGAACAAACAGGGAATAAAAAGTCTAAGCCCTTAATGAAGTCTGATCAGGCAAAAAGTACTCAGGAATCTGCTGATGGCATGGTAGCCTTAGAAAATAACCCACCTGATTTGCTTAATCAAACAGAATGTGTGTTAGATAATCAGGTTCATCTCTCTGAATCTACAGTGGAGTGTGAGGATATAATGCTTAAACCGACAGTAGAAAATGCTGTGTTATTAGAAAACAATACTGTAGAAGAGAAAGCCTTAGAAATAAATTTGGAGTCCAAAGAAAATACACCCCCAGCCATAATAACAGCAGATCAAACAGTAAATGAGGATAGTCACGTTCAGATAACTTCAAATCAAAAAACCCTTAGACGATCTTTAAGACGACGTTCAGAAACAACAGAGTCAACCACTGATAGCCAAGATAAAGAAAATAATCATCAGAAAAGGGAAAGACGTAAGGAAGAAGAAAAGACTCTTCAGAAAAGTCCACTGCAGGTAAAAGATGATTTGTTACCTAAACAAAAACTGATTTCTGAACAAACTGTACAGGAAAATTTAATTGAGAAAGGAAATAATTTACATGAGAAGACTTTTGGGGAAACCAGCACTAACTCTGAAACTGATGAAAATAGAAGAAAGCCAGATCTTGAGAATACTATATCTGAGGGAGATGGTGCCCAGGACATTGCAGATAAATCCTCTGAGAAATCAGTAAGGGGACGAACACGATACCAAACAAGAAGAGCATCCCAGGGTTTACTTTCCAGCATTGAAAACTCAGAATCTGATAGTTCTGAGGCAAAAGAAGAGAGTTCTAAAAAGAAGAGATCTGGAAAATGGAAAAACAGAAGCAATGACAGTGTTGACATTGAAGATCCAGAAGAGAAAATGGTAAAACAGGAATGTATAAAAGTTGAACATGAAACACATGATTATAAAGTGAATTTTGAAGTAGACACAGACATAAAATCTCAGATCTGTGAAAAAGATGAAAATAATACTGTAATTCTTCAAGATTCTACAGCATCTTCAGACTTACTACAAGTTTCTGATGATGTAGCAGCTACTTATGAGGGAAAAAGTAGAACTAGCAGATATTCAGAACATCCCTTTTTAAATCTTCCTGTACCAGAATCAAATCTAAGGACTAGAAATGCCAATAAGAGATTGCATAAGCGCGATTCTGTAGAAAATAGTGTGGGGGAATCTTCAAAAATAGGGACAGCAGATATTTCTTTGCTTTCTGAAAAAACTCTCCAGACACTTGAATGCCAACACAAGAGAAGTAGGAGGGTGAGGAGATCTAAGGGTTGTGATTGCTGTGGAGAAAAGTCACAGCCTCAGGAAAAGTTAGTTGGGTTAAAGGACACAGAAAATTATGATGTAAAGGTCAGTGAAACAAAAAAGACAGATGTGCAAACACCTGTAACTATCTCAGAAACTTCTAAAGCTGATCTGCACTCTGAAGTAAAACTTTTAGATGAGCATCATACTGTGAATTTTCATTTAGATCTCAAGGAGGAGAATGATACTACTAATGATTCACCAATTGTGTCTGAAACTGAGCTGAAAGAAAATACTATTCAAGACTCTCTTCCTTCTGGAATGGTAAATTTTAAAGAAACCTGTGATAGGAATTCTAAGGAACCAATATCTCTTGAAAGTCAGGAGCCATCCAGTAAAAAATGTAAAACTAGTGGCCTATGTTTAGATGATACCAAAGATACTTCACTGGAATGCTTTACTTTGGAGACCAAAGAAAAGCCAGAGGCTATCTCAAAAAAGGAATTGAGTATAGAGAATATTGTTAATGTTGAAGCAGATGCATGTGAAGTAAAAGCAGAAATGAATCCAGAAGAAGTAGATGCTATGGAATTGGATGTTGAAAGTGGTAAATCTGAAGTTAGCGTCTCTGAACAAAAGAGTGTCAAAACTGGTATTTCGGAGGAAGAGTTAACTGAAGAAAACAGTGAAAGAAGGGATGAATTTGAAGCAGATGCAGCTGAAGAAGCAGTAACTGAGGATTCAGGTATTGGTCATTCTGATAATAGCACACCTGTAAAACTGAGTGCTCAGATAGAGGTTTCTGAACAGACAGCAGTTGGGGAACTAGACAGAGGAGGTAATGAATCTAATCCAGACTCATCCGAAGAAATGAATGCTGAAATGGGAAGTTGTGCAGAAACAGTGATTGGTGAGGTGACTGCTGAAACTGACCATGTCAGTGAAGCACAGGATGAGGACTTGACTATCAAAGCCTCTGAGCCTGTAGAAGCTGAGATGAAGAGGTTAAATGTAGAAATCAACAACTTTGTTCCTGACACACTTGAGACGAGCACTAAAGAAGGAAACGTTAACTCTAATAAAACTGAAACAAATACTGAATGTAATGAATTTGAGGAAACAAAATTAGATGACAATCAAATGGTAGCGGGAAATGATGGAGTTTTACAAGAAGATCATCATACTTCAGAGAAAGTGGAGGAAACAGCACAATCTCTGACTTCTGGAACAGCTGTCTCTGAACTTATATCAGAAGACAATAATACATCTCCTCAAAAATTAGGGGATCTTGATCCTTTACTCGCATCAGCAAATGACAGTCCTAGTGGCGTGCAAGCACGCTGTGTCTGGTCTCCTTTGGCTTCTCCATCCACCAGCATTTTAAAGAGAGGACTAAAAAGATCCCAAGAAGATGAGATCTCATCACCTGTTCACAAGGTAGGGATTGAGGCTCAATATTAATGAGTCCATATTTAATTGGAATATTTTGGCCATACAGTGACACCTGCTGATTGACAGAATATTAGTCTTACATGACCACTCCTTTTGAATATTTACCATGGTGGCTAGGGGAAAGTACACGTAGAAGGAAAGGTATTGAGAAAGGAAACTGAAGCCCTTGAGATTCCCTTATTTCAGGGCACTAAGCTAAAGTTCTCTATACAACCATCACCATTGTTCACCTTTTGCAGAATTGATAATCTCTAATGGTGATTTCTTTCTGCTCTTCATGCCATAATATATGAGGAAGCAGATTTAGAGACTGATAAAATTTAGCACTTACTTTGTACTAGGACATTATATTGTTTCACATTTAAGTAGTTATTTAAACTCTTATTTTGAGACCTCATCTAATTAAAAAGAGAACAAAATCTCTTTAAGTTGTGTCTTTATCAGTTTCTGGATATGATTTCATTTCTAATTATTTATGTCCCCATCTTCACTAAAATAGAACTCCTTTAGTTTGTAAACATATGGATTATATATGTATCTACTTTAGCTCTTGGCCCTGTGACTTGCACATATTTTGTTGAATAAATAAAATTTAAAAAGGAAAAGTTGCATGTGCTTACATAGCTCAATTTGTCCTTTGCTTAGTAAAGTAAATGTTTTGAAAGGTATGATGCAGGCATTCCTTAATTTTGAAATTGAACCTTCCATCTACTGTAGAATGTATGTGTTTATGTGTATAAACTTGTTTATATAAATATAATTACACTGCCCCTTAATTTTGCCCTTAGCCAGCACATTGTGAAGACTTCCCCAGAAATATACTGAAAATTCTTATACTGAGAATTCAGAGATTAGTCCTTAGGAAGACTTAACACCTTTTGAGGTTTTTTTGGTTTGGTTTTGCTTTGCTTTTGTTTTGAGGCTCTTACTTTTTTTTTTAAACTTTAAGTTTAAATAGACCATAGAAGTTCTTGAAAAGTTTATGAAGATAGAATGCATTTGATGTCTTCAGTATTCTTTAGATTGTTAATACAAGTTAACTAGTCATGTTTTGTTTGATAGTAGCTCATATTTGATTTTTAATTTAGGCAATAGTACAATGTTAGTTTTCTATAGCAGATATGTACAGAATCTGCCCACTCTGGGGAATCGAGATCAGGAGTCATTTGTATGTAGTGGTTTAAAGGCTTTGTCATGTACTTAAATGGCTGAATGAGTGAACAGAGAGTTTAGAAGCGGCCAGAATGACTTCAAGCTGGGCTAAGAAAGATAAAAATTGCCACTCAACTGCTGTGACTCTGGTACCCTCAAAGAATTAAGAACAGAGATTAGTAAGATTTACCAGAGGCCAGTTGGTACTGTTTCTCTGTGCTTACCTTGTTGTTTACAGTTCATGGTGAGCCTGTAAGGTTAGTAGAATTTGATTATAGAATTTTAACTGTCATATGCAATTTTAAGTTTCTCCTACTGTACTTGTTTCACAGGCTCCTTGTTGCTGTATTATGTGGAGCAGTTTAGGACATAGATAATTGGAATGATCCTTGGTCTTGAGTAATATCTGTGAAAGCAGTCACTAGGAAAAGCTGCAGCTATGTGCAGTTGGCCTGTAATGAAATAAATTTAGCTTCTAAACCCATGTTCTGTTTTTGGCTAACCTTATAATGAGAATTTACAGTGTTATTATTAAAAACTTAATTTTGTTAAGTAAAAACATGACGTATGTTTTCAGGTTCGCCGTGTCTCCTTTGCAGATCCAATATACCAAGCAGGGTTGGCAGATGACATTGATAGACGATGCTCTACTGTTAGGTGCCATTCTTCAAATAGTTCTCCCATGGTAAAAAGTGTTAAAACTTCACCTACTGCACAGTATAAGGTGAGCTGTAGGCTTTAAAATAATACACGTACAGACACAGAATTGGGTTGGGTAATTTGTCTTAAAAAAATTCATTTGGTTATATTGTTCTTTTGTCTGCTTACATGGTAAGCAGACATGAATTGAAAAGGTGTTAAGAGGCAATAGTGATGCAGCAAGTAATTGATTCAGTAGTACTATTACATTCTGAAAATTTTAAGAAATTGCTGTGGTCTTAAGTTGTGAAAATAAAATTGTAAAATTATAGTTATCTAGGGTTCTGAGTTTTTTTTTTCTCCTTTCTTCTGTCTAGCATAATACCACTTCAGCCAAAGGATTTCTGTCCCCAGGATCACGTAGCCCTAAATTTAAGAGCTCAAAGAAGTGTTTAGTAAGAAATGCTTTAGTTTTCATGCAACTTTATATTTTCACATTTAGTCAGGTGACCTCTGTTTAACAGCTTTTGAAATTTATTTTAAGATTGTAGAGATGGCTAAGGAATATATGCCATGCCCAACAGAAAGCATTTACCCTGCCTTGATGAACTGTGTGGCACCAGTTGACATCATTTTACCTCAGATTACGTCCAACATGTGGTAAGTGGTTAGGATCCTGGCTTATACTTAAAGATGCCATTTATTTAAGAGGAATATTTAAGTGATCAAGGTTCTCATGTTTAGAATTGATTTTACATATATTCACACACTTCAGAGTAGAAATAAATGAAAATTTAGCTGGGGAAGATGGCTGAGATAGGGCCGTAATAGAAGCATTTATCATAATATAGTAATGGCTAAGATAATTGTATGCTTAATATTTGCCAAGTTTTGCATACATTATCTTTTTTAATGCTAATATAAATACAATAAGGAGTATAGTTATTTTCACTTTATAAAGTGTTTATAATAAAGGCTAATCCACCAAAGTCAGACGGCTAGTATGTCATAATGTAAGTGAAGTAAGTTAGGCTCAGTCTATTTCCAGTGCGATCACTTAAACCAGGCATACACATCAGATTCAAATTCTGTCTTAAATGTACATACGCCTCTCCCCAGAGTGGGCTGGGTGGGCCTATATAAATTCAGTTATGATTGAGCTTAAATCAGGAAATTCAGCTGGATAGGCCCTCACAAATAAATGTGAAACTGTGTAATGACATTTCTCCTGTTTCTTTCATCTCTTTAGGGCAAGAGGACTGGGACAACTCATCAGAGCCAAGAATATAAAAACAATTGGTGATTTGAGTACTCTTACAGCATCTGAAATAAAAACTCTTCCTATACGTTCTCCAAAAGTGTCTAATGTAAAAAAGGCTCTCAGAATATATCATGAGCAGCAGGTAAAAACTGAGATGTTAGTTACAAATCATGTACAAATAAATGATCAAGCAGTACAATTACAGAAATTTGCATTTAAACTATTCTTGCTTAAAAACTTCCCTTCCCCTGCAGTCAAGAGTAACTTAAAAGGTTTATAACTCCATAGAGAAGTTTCCTCATTTATTTTATACTGTTCTTCTACTTTTTATTCTTTGCATTCTGTTCTCCTTTCCCCTTATCTCTTTTATTTCTACTGAATTGATGATTGGTTTCATGGCTGCTATTCCTAAACATTTACAGAAATCTTGCAGACTTGTAGTTAACAGTAGTTTGACTTTGATATCCAACACAATCATGACCATTACTTTTTACTTATTCTTTCTATCAACTTTTAAGACATAAACATTATGGGTCATGGATTTTTTTCAAGATTTTTATGAAAGCAAATATTCTTTTTTCCTATAAAAATATAGAAAATTTTGTATATAATTTCAGAAGGATTTATAGACTCTCTTGAAATCCACTTAGATACACATTTTGTGTTCATTGATAGTATGCAGAATTGTGAATAAATGAAAAGTAGGATGCTGTAAGGGTAAAAACCAACATTCTATTAGAATTTATGAGACTAGAGTTTGCTAACTCAATATTGAAGACTTCTGCTGTATTCTTGAAAGTTTTTGCTTTAGTATTAATGTATTTGTGATATGTAAAAAGATTTGTTAACCAATTCTTTAAAAAAAAACTATTAGTAATTTACAGTCTTAGAGATGAAGTATTTAAACTGCTTTATACAGCCACATACCATAAAATTCATCCACCCAAAGCATTCAGTTAAGTGGTGTTCTTTGTATGTTTTGGGGGGTTTTTTTGTTGTTTACTATTTTTATTTTTTTAAGTTACTGGGGGAGGATTAGATTAATTTATTTATTTAAAAAAATTTTATATGTTCTTTGTTTATTCACAAAGTTACATAATCCTCACCAAGACCTAATTTTATAACTTTTTTTTTTTTTATTACCTGGGAAAAAGTCCTGTACTCATTAACAGTTGGTTTGCATCTCTACACCTGAGACAATCCACTAATCTTTGTGTTTGGCTTTGTCTATTGCAGACATTTCATTAAAAGAAGGTTATGTAGTCTTATGTGACTGGCTTCTTTGCGCATATTCAAGGTTCACATGTATTAGTACCTTGTTCATTTTTATGGTTAAATAATAACCCCTGGTATGGTATGGCTGTACAGCATTTTGGTTATCTACCGGTTGAGTAACATTAGGGTTGTTTACACCCTTTTCTGTTATGAATATGCTTTTAGGTACATTCATATACAAGTTTTTGTGTGGACATATATTTTTATTTCTCTTGGGTGTATATGTAGGAGTTGAATTGCTAGGTCATATGGTAACTCTAACATTCTGAAATTAGTATTGTCTCAATCCAGTAATAATAAGTCCTGGAAATACCTTTGAAAATTACATTCTTTTTTAAAAAGAATTCTGTATGTTAACCTTGGAAAGCTTTGCCTTAGATTTGCTTTTCCCATATTCTGAACCTGGGGAATGAATTTTTCTTGCCTACCACGGTTATATTTCTTGATGAGTCCAGTAGGAAAAATTATAAATTCCTTAATCACCTCTTTGAAAAAACGCTGTGTAAAGCTATTTTTTGAGTTGTTAGTAGAACATGATTTCTTAGCAATATTACCTAAGCTAATCTTGTGATTGACTGTGGAACATATTATGTCAGATTCTTTTCCTGTATTAATACTGTTAGTCGTATTGAAAATAACGTTCAGTCTGTTGCTATTGTTCTTATTTTTACTGGCTTGAATGTATAATCAAGGTGAAGTCTCGTGGACTAGAAGAGATTCCAGTTTTTGATATTTCCGAAAAAACAATGAATGGAATGGAAAATAAATCTCTCTCTCTTGATGAAGAAAGACTTGCCTCAGGTATATTTTAGCAGAGTAGGATAATTTATAAGATCAGATGACTTTCTTGAAGAGATGTTTTGTTATTATGCTTTTAGTTTTAATTTGACCATGCCCTATGAATTCAACAAGTATTTTTTGTGTGATAGTTGCCAAGTGTATGAAAAAGTAACTGATTTGTCTTCAAGTATATTTAGTTGCTTTTTCTCTAATTGTCACCTTTTACTCTTTCAAGGTCTCAAATGAGGATATAAAAACATTGTTTTCTAGTTACATTGTTCATAAAAATGAAATGATTTAGTGATTTCTTTAATGGCACAGAATAAGTTACGGAAGTTTTCCTGTTGCCTTGTTTTCTTGAGCAACCTGCACTCAACGTGAAACCTAAGCACTTAAACTTTTTATTAACTTAAAAGGAGATGGATACAATTTAAGGTTTATTTGGAAAGATTTAATTATCCTTTTCTCTCTTTCTTTTAGATTTAATTGATCCTGTTGCTTTAGAGAGTCCACTGTCAAAAAATCTTCTGGCACAGATTAGTGCACTAGCTCTTCAAATGGACTCAGAAGATCTCCATAATTACTCAGGAAGCCAATTATTTGAAATGCATGAGAAACTTGGTAGCATGGCAAACTCTATAATCAAAAATTTGCAGTCACGTTGGAGGTCACCAGCCCACGAAAATTCTATTTAGTATTTTAAGAGAAAATTTAAGTTTAAAAAAAAAATCACTGATTTACTGATTTCATAAAATAAGTTCTGGTAATATAGCACAATTTCAGACTGAATGATTGTGAAGTTGGTAACATTTCAAACTCTGAAAGTCAAATGATTTATTCAGTAAGTTCACTTTGGTGAGAGCATTTTTTTCCTGTATAATGTGTTTTCTTGGTTGCTATGTGTAATTTTTCCAAAAATTTAAATTATCTTACTGAAATGTGAAAGCAAAAACTAGGAACAAAAGCATACATTTTATTTCACTTATGTATATTCTAATGAAGCATTTTATGTAAGTGCTTGTTCTCAGTAAAATTGAAAATTTTTATTTGAACTTTTTGCTGAACTGATAGGTGTTTATACTTGATTTCTTTTTCTAAATTTATATTTGCTATGCCTGAGGTTTAAGAAATTTGCTCTTGGTAAAACACCCTAAATGAGATGCAAAAGAATTGGAACTTTTTTTGTAGATGTCAACTTCATTTGGACAACCTTCAAAAACAGCAAAAGTTTCAATTTGGGGGTTAAATATAATAGCAGAATTTACTAAGATTCATTCATTTGCATTAGCAAATATTTATGCAGCAACATTTGCCTGTGAAAACACTCCTATGAGACATAACATTCATCTAAAATGCACGATTATTTGTACATTATGTATAGATTAAGTTTTTAATTTATAAATTTCAGTCTTCGTTAATTGCATGAGTTTTTCTGCAGCCTCTTGTGAATACCTTTGTTTTGTTTAATAGAAATATTTTGTATATATTGAATACTGAGCTATCAGTATGGACAATAGAAGTGCTTTGTGGGCTTGCTGCAGATGTTTGTAGGATTCTGTATCTACAAATAAAACAACAAATAGTTTTGTACTTAGTTAATATTCTTAGTTGAAACATGATTTTCTAAAGTAAGCAGAACAAGTAAAGTTATAGTTGAGAAAGTGTTACATGACAACTTTGCTGTTCATGCCCATAACCTTTTTTTTTTTTTTTTGGTTTGGAAGAGGGTAACAGCCACTAGAAAGCGTGCCACATTACATTTCTTTTTAATGAGGATTTAGCTTGAATATTTTAAATATAACTTGGATTATAAGAAGTCTAGAGTTTATCTGCTCTTTTCAACTATACCTAAAGCATACTTGGAAGAAATTTGAAATTGTTCTTTCAAAATAATGTGTGTTTTAACCTAGTTTAAAATAATAGGGTGTATATAATTAAAACATTTGTAAATTTTACCAACTAGTATTAGTGCCTAACTTTCCCATATTTGTTTCCTCTTTTTAACGGTGAGAATGTCTCATTTGTTCTCTGAATAGAATGAGTGAGCCTTAGTTTCAGACTTACTCGGAACTAACCTTTACTTGAAAAGGCACACATTCTTCATCAACTTATGGAAAGTTTAATCCTTGTGTCTGGTTAGCTCTATATGCAGAAGGGGACTGCCAAATAGTCACAATAAAAGTTAGTGTTTTTTATAATAAATCCATTATCATTGTATTATAGATATTTTGAGATTTAAGCTTGATATTTATAATACTGAGGATGGTTTTAAAAGAAATTCTGGGACCATTGAACTGAGGATTGCAGCTTGGAGAAATAATAACGAACAAATAGGAATTTTAAAAACAGTTATAATTATGGTTTAAGTATGTCTATCATTTACTTCCCAACTTACACGTAACAGTAAAAGGGCATACACATTTTTAGTGAACAGGTATGAGTAAGAGGAGGGATGTGTAAATACGTGTTTATAGGAGGCAGAATTAGCTCATTTCTTGACTATATATTTTTATGTTTGTGTGAACTAACTTCCTGGTGGGATGAAGTTCTTGGGAGGGTGAACAGTATAGCAGAAAATGTGACCAAAATGATTACCATTTACTTAAATGGCTTGATGCAAGCACAAATTTTAATTTAAAAACATTGTGGTTCAATAGATAGATATTTAAAAATATTTGAGGGCAAAAACCGGTTTGCTAATCTTTGTTTATGTAATAATGAGTATATATTTAAGGCATTTTATTTTCAGTATTCTTAAAATTTACTACAAATTTTTCTTTGAATGATTCCTAAATACCAAAAAGCATTAATATTCCTTGATCAGCTCCAGTGTGTGCTGTTTCACTGCTAAAAGTGAAATCAGTTTTTTCCCAAATATTTTCTAATGGTTAATAAAACATAGCAAATATTAGTAAGATTCCTCAAATGTGATTTCTTATTTTATGCATTTATAAGAATCTAGTTAGTTACATGCAGAACCATACTATAATTTTTCATGTTCCAAAATGGATAGTGGATTTTAAGTTTTTAGTATTTCAGTGAGTCTATTATTAAAAGATACTCTGCTGTTTCAACAAGTTTGAAAGCCACTGTTGAACAGTATGGAACCTTAGTTCTAGACTCCTTGTAGAGTATAGGATGTGTCAGGTTAAGGAATAATGTAATATGTTAATACAGTCAAAAATAAGGTTTAAATGTGAACTTCAAAAGCATGGTAGATCGTGACATTGCCCATGTTTGTTTTTTCTTTGCAGCTTGAAAATAGTCAAGTATTCTATTATATATTTAAAAATCATTAAAATGTTAAAGTTGGATTATATATCTTGCCTAAAATAAAGGTGGCAGGGCAAAAAGCAAAAGTATGGAAAAATGGGAGAAGTATATGAAAAATAAGTAAGTTTTGAGTTTTTTTGCTTTTTAAAGGAATGAGAATAGTTAAAAGTGCTGTTTAAAAGGGAGGCATAGGTGAAATTTAACAAAAATGTGACTGAAAGGGGGCACATTTTCCCTCCATGCCATTCCTTCCAACTTTGATTTTATAGTCTAGTAAGAAGGGCCTAGATTCCATCTCATATTGTTGATAATTTTCAGGGAGATAATTTGTCAGTTAGTGATTGTTGATATTATTAGGCTAAAACTCCAGTCAAGGGAGGGAGCTGCTTACTCACTAGTACAACTCACGTCTACTTTATCCCTAAGCCATTAAGAAGGTCTTGTACTTTGTATACAACATTAGAGTGAAGTTCTGACTTTTAACTCGGTGCTTCTCAAACTTGCTTGTATATGTAACAATGCAAATTCTGATTCAGTAAGTCTGTGATGGGCACCTAATAGTTCATTTCTAAAAATTCCCATGTGATCTATACAAACGCTAATGTCTGAACTGCATTTGTAGTAGGGAAGCGGAAGAGACTTCAAACTAACAATTAGGTTTTGTTAACCCAAGCAGATTTAAGTCCTTAGAATTATTGCCACAAATGATAAAAGCTAGTCTTTTTAAAAGTAACTTTTCAAATTTATAATTGAGGATGCAGACTTGTCTTCAAGCTTTCAAATTAAAGTTCAGAAATTTAAATTGTTAAAGGTAGAATTTTGCCTCATTTGGAGCCTTTTAAATATGGAAGACAAGTATTTTATGTTATAAAGAACTTTATTAAGCAATTTAGACAACGTGGAGTCTTAGGAGTATTTGTGGATTATGTTCTGATTTTTTGTTGATATAAAGGTAAATTTTCACAATATTAGGCATTTAGTCTCTTGCATGAATCTTGCCTTCTAACTTACAAGACTTCATTACTTTATTAATGAACATATAAAACAGACTACCCCTAACTAAGATTAATTTGGCAGTAAAATTAGTAGTGCCATAAGTCAGTTCTGACAAATGTGCCTTGTCATTTTACTGAAGGTCTCTGGTGACTGCTGTTCTGTTACATAGTTGAAAGTTAGTATTTCATTGTAAAATGGGGTTGAGGGAGTTGAATAACCTGATTCTCTAAAATGAGTTAATTTCTTGGTGTTCTGTTAAGATGGTATATTCCCTTATCCAAAGCACTTAAGGAAATGTCACCAGAAGTGAAGTAATGGGTTTTAAAAATTGATTTATGAGAATTTATTGATTGCTTGAGTTGTAAAACACATCTGGGTTTTGTGGTTTCTGATGGCTCCATTAATGATATCTTTTATCTGCCAGGCCTTGTATATTGCTTTTTGAAAGTACCCATCAAAATCTGAGTCATTTGTGTTTGAAGATCTACAGATACTTAATAGATGAGTAGTCTAACATCATTTTGAGTGTTTACTCAGTTCTTGGAATAGAATCTTAAATTTTACAATGTGGTCTTAACCATTTTTTTCTTTATATGCCAAGCCTTTCACCAAAGAAGAATTAAAACCAAACATGAAGTGCCAAGCTGTAAATGCTTACTCCCCTGAAATATGCCATTAGAATACAAGGTAATCTCTCCCCTTAACTGTGAGTATAAAATTGAAGGCAGTATTTAAATTGATGTCACATGGAAGAAAAAACCTATGTAACTTTTGGTCCTCTACCTGTAGTAGAGGAGACAATAGCATTAGGCCAGTGTGCCATTTTATAATTGTGGTTGAAATTAAGCTTATTAGACAACAAGCTTATATGCTAATAGAAATTGATGCACTGATAAATGATTAAGTGAAGTGAAAGGGAAAGACAGACTGAGCTGAAATATTGATAAAGCAATTAGGCCGTTAAGTATAGGGACAAAGAGTTCTATGTATTTTGCAAGTAACTTAAATAATTTTGTAGTCAGTAGTCTGAGAGTTACTGTATACATAACACTGTACCATAATCAATGTTTATAAGTACCTTGAGTAAGTATTTCAAATACATTATTATTTAATATTCTGCCTCCTCCCCCAATTAGTAAATATTTCCAACAAAAGGCATTCCTTAAATGGATAAACTGCATATAACTAGAAAGTGCACCTTCAAAATAAAGTGAGGTGGAACTGAAAATGGAATATAGTATAGTGGCTATTTTGATACTTAACCAAATAATTAACAAGTGTCTAAAAAGTTCTTTATTTTTATGGGTGGAAATTTTCTTATAGAAAAAATGGAATTGAGAACAATCAATTTTGAGTATAGAAAATGAAAGATGACATTCTTACCTAGTAGGTTTTTAAAGAGCAGGGCCTGCCACCTATTTTCACATCTAATGAGCTAAGAATGGTTTTTTACATTTTCTAAATGGGTGGAAAAAAATCAAAAGAAGACATGAAATGTATACAGTTTAAATTTTATTGCTGGCAAATAAGGTTTCACTGGGACACAGCCATGCTCATTTACTTATTTGGCTGTTTTCCTGTGTCAGTGGCAGAACTGAGTAGACTGACAGACTGTGTGGCCTGTAGTACTGAACGTATTGACTATTATCAGGCCCTTTACATAAATTGTGCCAGTCCTTGTCATAAGAGATAGTTTTGTTCATATATGAAATATAGTCAATTTGGTTACTTCTAGCTGGCAGAAAAGGGATTTTGTTTCCTTAGTTTCTTAATTTCTATTGCTGTTTAGTTTACTGTATATAATGGGTTCCCCGATTCCATTTATATCTTACTGTTGCTCAAATACTCATATACTAGGAGATACTAGTACTTTTTAGGTACACATTTTCCTCCTAAAACTCTTAAATTATTGTTATATGTTTGCCATGGGTTATTGGACGTGTTATGTGAAGGAAGGCAACTGGCACTAATTGGTTAAATTACATCTGTGAAACAAATTGGGGGGTTTGGGAAGTTTGCCTTCTGTGTTGATGAGTAATCGATTGCTTGCAGTGTAAACACTACCTCCTGTGGATAGACTTGACTAATACGCACTTAGAAAAGGACTGAGAAGTCAAATCAGTCATTTATTAGCCCTACAATATTTTTGTTTTCATCATTTGAAAAACTAAAGAGCTTAGTTTTACATTCAGAAAGTATTTATATTTGATAAGTCAAATAATTTAAGTTGAAACTTCATAGAATTTCTGTTCATTCCTCAGTTGACTGCATTAGTAAATGGAAAATAAGGGTGCAGTCGGTTTTGTTTGTGTAATGCTTTATACAGTGTTTGAAGCAGGTAGACCTATACTAAAACTGTATTTTCAGGCTCATTATGACTGGGTTGAGGGAGAGAGAACCTGTGTCTGATCCACAGTAAAACTTTCATGGTATATTGAGATTTGACTGTTAACAATTGCCAGTTGAAACATGATACTGAAAAATTTTTGAAGAAATGCACTTTAATCTAAAATAAAAAAAAAACTAAAGAATTCTAGTACTTGGCTTTTCTTTGGATTTTGGGTTTTAAATGTTTTTTGCTCTAGTGATGCCTCCTGAAATGAATGGAAATAGCATAATCCAAATACCAACCTAAAGTGAACCTTGTATTCCTCTACAGTCACATGAATATTCATATTCTTGCCACCTTTTATGACCTTTTTTTTTTAACCATAGAGGTTTTTGGTTTTATTCATAGTTTTGTGGGTTCCATGTACTTCTAAGTCCATACTTTTTTTTAAAGTATAGTTGATATGCAGTATTTTGTTAGTTTCAGATGTGCAGCAAAGTGATTTGGTTATATATTTTTTTCATATTTTCCACTATAGGTTATTACAGGATATTGAGTTTTGTTCCCTATGTTAAACAGTAAGTTCTTGTTACTTATTATTTTATGTATAGTAGTGTGAATCTTAATCCTATACTCCTAATTTATCCCTCCCCCTCCTTGCCTTTCTCCTTTGGCAACTGCAAGTTTGTTTTCTATGTCTCTGAGTCTGTTCATTTGTATTTTTTAGATTCCACATAGAAGTGATATTTGTCTTTGATTTCACTTAGTATGATATTATCTAGGTCCATCCATGTTGCTGCAAATGGCAATTTCATTCTTTTTTATGGCTGAGGAATAAAAAAATATACACGCACACATACACATCTTGAACTCATCATCTGTTCATGGGCATTTGGGTTGTTTTCATGTCTTGGCTATTGTAACTAGTGTTGCTTTGAACATTGAGGTGTATGTATCCTTTCCAATTAGAGTTTTGTCTTTTTCCAGATGTATGCCCAGGAGTTGGCTTGCTGTATTATAAGGTAACTCTATTATTAGTTTTTTAAGGAACCTTCATACTGTTTTCCATAGTAGATGTAGCAGTTTACATTCCCCCTACAACAGTGTACAAGGGTTCCCTTTTCTCCACACCCTCTCCAGCATTTATTAGTTGTAGACTTTTTTTATGAAGGCCATTCTGATGGTGTAAGGTGATACTTCATTGTGGTTTTGATTTGCATTCCTCTAATAATTAGCAGTGTTAAGCATCTTTTCATGTACCTGTTGGTCATCTCTGTCTTCTATCGGAGAAATGTCTTATTTAAGTCTTAAGCCATTTTTTGATTGGGTTGTTTGGGGCTTTTTTGATACTGAGCAGTATGAGCTGTTTGTATATTTTGGAAATTAACCCCTTGTAGGTCACATCATTTGCAGATTATTTTCTCCCAATCTGTAGGTTGTCTTTATTTTGATGGTTTCCTTTCCTATGCAAAAACTTTTAAGTTTGATAGATCCCCATTTGTTCATTTCTGCTTTTATTTCTTTTTGTCTTGGGAGATTGTAAATCCATACTTTAAGAGAAAAAAATGTAAAATAGACCTAGTAATGTTGAAACATACTGTATTAGTTTACTGTGGCTGCTGTAACAGCCAGAGAGTGCCTTAAATAACAAATGTATTGTCTTGTTCTGGAAGCTAGAAGTTTAAGATAAGGTATCCACAAGGGTTTGTTCTGAGGACTGTGAAGAAGGCTGTTACATGCCTCTCGCCTAGCTTCTGGTGGTTTGCTGTCAGTTTTTGGCTTTCCTGGCATGTAAAAGCATCACCCCAATCTCTGCCTTCATTTCCACATGCATTCTCAGCTAGTGTACTAGCTGTGAGTCTCAGAGAGACACACGTTAAGAAGTTTGAGGATAGCAGTATTACTACAGCGCTAAAGTAACATGGACAGAACTTCTGCTTTTTAGAAAGGATACCCTATAAACTTGAGCATTAAGCCGTTATTGGTTGGCACTCCGCCCTTTGTCCATTTAATGCCTTTGCCACAAACTGCTAGCCCACTGATAAGACATGGAAGATCCCTTGAGGTTAGCATTGGTTTCTAAAACTTTCTTTTGCAGGAACTTAACGTTAATTTTATTGTATTGTATTTTTCATTTTATTGTGTAATGTTGCTAAATGTGTTTAGTATCCCTTAATTTTACTTAAAACTAAAACTACGAGCCAAGCTATACAGGAAGCTTGCTGAACACAAATATGGATAGTTCTGAGAACAGCTACACTTGTGCATTTTTAACAGTGCATTTTTTTAAGTTTAATTTTTTTTAGTGAAGTCTAGTGTAAGGGATTTGCTTTGTTGAAGTTTTTGTCTGTAGATCTTAAAATTATTAAAAATAAGGCTCATTCCATCAGTGGTATTTGTTGCAGAATTACAGATTTTATTAGTTACTAGCTTATCACCAGTTTACATTGACTCAGCTTTAGAACGTCAGAACTGGCTTAGAAATAAAAGCATCAGCAGTCGGTAAGCAGGGAAACAGTGACTATCTTTTTTTTTTTAATGTGTTTAACATGATCAGAACCCTTGTTTTAGAGAAGAAATAATGTTAAACAACATTTTTTATAATGTAGAAACACTCTGGGTTGATACAGCAATATTTAACAGTGCAGAAACTTTTAAAATGTCTGTTTGGAAATTAAACTTTAAAACCCAAAG